AGGTGAAAAGCCAGCGGCCTCCCAGATGTTGAACGTTCATGTTTGCTCGAGGGAATGCCAGCGAGCTGCAAGAGGGGTCGAGGTGAAACCAGCGACTTCCCTAATGCTAATCGTTCATTCTACTCGAGGGGATGCCAGCGAGTTGCAACGGGGGTCGAGGTGAAACCAGCGACTTGCCCGTTGCTGAACGTTCGGTTTAGCTACCGATCCAAATGTTACTGAAAATGGCGGTCGGTGCTGCTAGGCGAAATTCGCTGAATTCTCGCTGTCTTGTACCCTAATCCCTACTAGAAAAACAAAAAGAACAGGAAAAAAGGACAAAGGGAATAACCTACCTTTGAGCCTTTGCTTTTGATGGAATTAACGCACTTATCGTGCGTAAATTTTCTAACGAACGTTACAACAACGTTTTTTGCACATATGCACGCTTAGGAAACGAAAATGTACTGATCTGTGAATGACGCCATCCGTCACTAGCCGCACTTGAAACTCGGATCCAGGTTCCCCTATTCCCTCACAGATGGAGCCATTTTCTGACACTTTGGGCATTTTGCATGGTTAGGATACGCAAGGTAATCTCCGAAGGGTCAAGCCGAAGGCACAGACATAAAATAATTTATTTTGTTATACTCTATTATTATAAAGATTTGTACTGAATACATTTGATCCTGTAATTGGCCTTGTGCTGTAGGATCTTGACAAACAATAAAATAACAAATAACAAATAAATAAATAATAAAGATAAAGAAATTGGAAACGAATAGTTGTTAGTTGTTGGATTTTGGCTGATGGTTAATTTCTTTTTTATAGCACTGGAAGGGAATTTTTGAGAAGTATGATCTAGACGGAGATGGCAAAATCTCGTACAATGAGCTGAAGGCAATGGTCAGGGGATCCAGCTGCACTGATGACATACCACCTAGAGTTGTGAGACTCATAATGCACAAAGCCGACCTGGATGAGTCAGGGTATCTGGAGTACCCAGAATTTATTGCCATGGTGAGATAACTGAAGAATTGGATTGATAAGTTCTAATTGAAGATCTTTTTATAGATGTCGAACATAATTAAAATAGTCTTAATGGTACTTTTAAGTTTGTTTTATCATTGTATGGAGGTCAAGTGATTAAAGGAGATGAGGTTCAAACAAATTCACAGATTATTCTGCGAATATCCTTGGAAGGAATGGTTTTGGAAAATATCAAGAGATCTTTTTTATGTGACACTTTATTAACTAGTGATAATATCTCCTAAAATCTATTAGGTTCAGCGATATCTACTGGTTGATCAGCCTAACAATTACCAAAATTCAAAAAGCATGAGCAATTCTTATCTATCTACAATTAGTTATCTTCGGAAACGAGACCTCTAGAGAAGAAGATTGAAAGATCTTTTTTAAAGTCTATGGATTCCCTATGAAAAAGTTCTCCTGTTGTTGATTTTTAATCCATCAGCTTCAGAAAAATTTACATAATAATCAGTCCGATGATTCACAAAATATATTATTCAGTCATTATCTTCTGATAAAATGCTTTTATCCCAAAAGTGAAAAGGCTTTTTTTTAATTCATCGAAGTCTTTTTCAAAAAACTCTTGCAATTTTTTGGAATACCAAACATTATTGAAGGCTTAGACTTGATCCTTTTTACGACACATCGTTGTTCTCATTTCAGCTTCTTGAGAAAAAAGTTCGTTCATTATTTATTCTAAATCTACTAGTTCTAGGAATATTTAGACAACTGCCAATCTGATGATTAACAAAATCCAAAATGAGTAGGTAATTATTATTACTTTCAGATGGAAAGCTTTCATCAGAAAAATAATAAAACTTTTTTGCAAATCCATCGAAGTCTTAAAAAAATACTTGAAATTTCCTGAAATAACAATCATGTTTCTTCGCTGTTGGAGAAAAAAGTTCTCTCATTATTTTTTCTGAATCTATTAGCTCCAGAAATATTTACATAACAGTCAGTCTAATGATTAAAAAAATCCAAAATGAGTTGGTAATTATTATTATTTTCAGATGGAAAGCTTTCATAAAATAGTATATTTCCCACCAAAGGAGGGAAAATAAAGGAGTCGTGCCCACGTGCAGAATTACCACCCGAGCCGAAGGCGAGGGTGGTAAGCACGTGGGTAAGGGTCCTTTATTTTACCTCCCGTGGTGAGAACGTTATTTTTCGTCACAGCATAGGCGGAAAGGCAGATTTTCCTCCCGCTAAGCGAGAGGAAAATGTGTCCTTTCCGCCCGCCGTGGGGAAAAAAATAATAAACCTTTTTTTCAAATCCATCGACGTCTCAAAAAAAATTCTTGAAATTTCCTGAAATAACAATCATCATTGAATTCTTGAATTTGATCCCTCTCATCTCTCAACACAAACTGTTATTCTTCATTCTCTCCGTATGGAGAAGACAATCGACATATTTTTTTCGAAATCTATTAAATCCTCTATCGAAAAGTTCTCTTGATATTTTTTATGAACCAGCTAACCAGCTCCAGAAATATTTCCATAATAATCAATTTGGTGATTAACAAAATCATAAATCAATGTGTAATTGTTATTCAGTAATTATCCTGAAATGGTAAGCTTTCAGACAAAAAGCAAAAAGAGTTTTTCTTCAAGTCCATCGAAATCTCTCTGAAAAAGAGTTCCAAGAGTTCTTGGAATTTTCTGAAATAATAATCATCGTTGAATTTTCGGACTTGACCCCTGTCACTTTTCAACCGCAGATTGTTGTTCTCATTTCTTTCCCTCTGACATTCGCAAGACAAGCAAAAATCTCTCAAGTCCACTGCATTGTCTCTGAAATGCTGATTCAAATTACAGATCCATAGGAAAGACATGCAGGGTGTCTTCGGGCACTTCATAAATCGCTATGTCCACACAATGGTGCCGTGCAGGCCCACCCTCTCCACTCAATTGAGTGCGAGAATTTCCGCGGACTTTCCCGATGGCCAATACGAGGAGGAGTACAGTTGTAGACCACCTCCAGTAGCCATGATCATCATATCAATTATCGAAATTATTTTATATGTTTACGACATCGCGACTGTACCGAGGAAAGCATCGCTCATTGATGGACCAGCTGCTGAGTTATTTATTTACAATCCCCATCAAAGATATGAGGCCTGGAGATACGTGACATACATGTTTGTACATGTTGGGTGAGTCTATCATTCAGTCATTTCAATAGCCATTTACACTGAAAATTCCTACATAAAATGAATAGATTGAACAGGTAACCAAATTTTCGCATCAGTAGTATGTTGCTCTCAACAAGTAAAAACGAGCAGGGAGTCGAGCCTTTCTGTCAGAAGGCATGTTCCCGTTGTTTGATGCGTTATTTACCTTTTTCGTTTTTTACTTCTACCAATTTCATTGGTACTAAGTTGCCGAATGGATCCGTAAAAATTTTATTGCTTGTTTGATTGAAAAAAAAAAACAATTTTTTCTTGAAAAAATCTGATCCTCGAAACGTTTGATCTTCTAAAATTGAGAATTAAATTTTGGTTTTATTCAGTGGAATAGGCATACCAGACGACCCCATTTTTAATAAATGGTTTCATGTGAAAATCGATGATAGAATAACGATAATATTTCCGATAATAAAGGTGTTCTGAGAAATGTCTGTGTTCCTTTTGGGGATATTATATTCTGAAATATTAGGTGTACAAATAAGTTTTAGGACACTTCGATTCCGTGTCATGAAAGTAATTCAAAGTTACCGCTTCCGTATGCGAATTGACTGATGTGCGATTCAAAACATTTGAAGAAGTGCAAAAATGGGTCGATAATTTCCTCGCCTCGCAAGATGAAACTTTCTTTGCGGAAGGCATCCGTGAATTACCTAACAGATGGCTGAAGGTCATTCAAAATAATGGAGATTATTTTGAGGAATAAATGTAGTTTACTTTTTTTCGAAAATGAATTTAAAATTTTTTGCAAAGTGTCCTAAAACTTATTTGTACACCTAATAATAACAGAATGGTTTTCGCTTGTTTTGTAATTTTCACGTAAGAAAATGACCTTTTTTCCCATAAAATTATTTCAAACAAGTGGGAAATTGTTTTGATCACAACATAGTCAGTAGATTTTTGCTAATAAATTGACAATTTGCTTCCGAATGGAATTTGTATGACGGTGTATGTTGACTTGAATTCAATAAATCATCATTACCTCAACGCTGGTAGTCAACATTGCCCCAACTTTAAAATTTGTTATCTTTCCCTGAATATTGGTTTCAAAATTAATTTTTTCTACAACAGATGATGCAATCAATCTCATGATCGAAGGCGGTCAAGATGGCATTGAGAAGAATATTTTAAATCACAATTGGCTTCATTTAAACAATTATTTTTTTCAATTATCGTCGAAACACCATCAGTCACATACATACATCCATCTGGACATGGTCTAAAAATAGCATATTCGAACTCCTGAGGCCAAAATTAGTTATTCTGACCAGGGATCCCCATCAATATTAAATTACTGATATTACAAAATTTTCTTAATATTACAAGAATTTGACCCTTATATTAATGAAGGTTTAAAATATGTTGATCCAATTTTTAAAATTATATATTTTTTTTTTTTTTTTTAATGCTTATTTTATATCGCTTCGAGTCTGAGGAGACTATATGGCGATTGATCAAGACTTTAAAAATGGTTAGATCTCACCATTCTACCCGGCCAGGAATCGAACCTGGAACCTATCCGTTGTGAGGCAACGGCCTTAACCACTACGCCAGGCCACCGGGGAAAAAAAAAAAAAAAAAAAATTATATAATATAAATAATCTGATTTTTTTCGAATAATGATGTATTTCAAATTTGTTAATATGAAACTGTAAATTTACTACTAAATGAATAATTCAAATTTCTTAAAAGGGGATTTTCGATGACACAAATAATCATCAATCTTCCTACCTCAATTATTGATTGATAAAATAGTTGACAATTTGAATATTTGAATTGATGATACTTAAGTACTCAAAAAATTTAAGAGTGATGTTAACTAATTGACGGCTACAATATTTAACGGTAATAAAATATTACAAATTTGGCTGTCCCTGATTCTAATTCGAAAATTAGAAATTTCGGATTTGCCAAATACAATGCTTCCATTCGCCATAAAAAATCCTCTCAAGAGCCTCGAGAAATGACTTTCTAAATAAACCCCATGATTAAATTCCTCATCTTTATGTATTCCAGAGTGTTTCATTTACTGGTGAACCTATTAGTCCAAGTAATGCTGGGAATACCCTTGGAGATGGTCCACAAATGGTGGCGTGTACTAATCATCTACCTCGCTGGAGTGGTAGCTGGCTCCCTTGGGACATCAGTATCAGATCCAAATGTCTACCTCGCTGGTGCATCTGGCGGTGTTTACGCACTCATAACAGCCCATGTTGCAACAATCGTAATGAACTGGCATCAAATGGAGTTTGCTGTGCTCCAATTATGTGTATTCGTCGTTATAACGACTGTTGACGTCGGCCAGGCTGTTTACAATCGTTACGTGCTCGGTACACAGGATCAAATTGGGTATGTGGCCCACTTGGCAGGTGCTATTGCTGGATTATTAGTTGGGATCAACGTTCTTCGTAATCTAGAAGTACAAACGTGGGAAAAAGCTGTTTGGTGGGCTAGTATCTTTACGTATACTGCTCTCATGACGGCTGCTATTCTCTGGAATATCTTCGGAATGGAATAGAAAAGTCATCGTTAGAAAAATTGATGAGTGTGGAAATGGTGAGAGGAGACTATTAGAGAACTGACATGAGTAAAAATGTCATTCATTATTTTGTAAATATATTGGAAGAGACGTTCTTTTAGGACATAACATTTACAAAATTGGCGCTGAAAAATTTCTCTAAAGTTTTTCCTTCCAATCATATTTGAGAAATCATCTATCAATGTGTTCGACCTCCTTTTACTACTTCTCTACTGAATTATTGGCCTTTCTGAATCACTTTCGAGTGATTATGTGAAGCTAGAATTAATCCATAATTCCCTCAGTATTTAATTTGTATTTAGTTGGCAGCTACGAACAAATCCTCGATTTAATGAACCGAGTGCTATGTAAGTTATTTTATATTTCATTCTAGTTTAGTACAAAAATTTATATCATGAGGTCATGTAATGAGTTCACTGAGACGAATCATTCTCTAGAAATAATGACAACGAGCAGGATTAGGTATATCAGAGTGTCAATTATTTTTTTTGATGAATATAAACTTTTGTACGGAAGATGTGAAAGAACATGCATTTATTCTCTGACTATAAGATTTTGCAAGATGTATTTATGACTTGGCAGGGGATTGAGAGTGGTGTGTTCACCGAGGAAGAGTACAATTTTTGTTACTGTATTTAATCGATGAAAATTATGCACAGAGGGTTGGAGAAGTTGCTTGTATAGTAGCACATTTTTTTTATCATTTGTATTGCAAAATTACAAAATTTTACTGCCATCGTATTTTCCAACGCCCTGTGTCAAGTCATTTTGTATTAATAATGCTCTCACTATATAAGTTATGTATTTATTTGACAACGAAGATATATTGTTTTTTATGATACAAAGTTGAATAAAATCGTTTGCATCAAATTTGAATTTTTCGACTTTTTCAGGTAATTTTATCAGAATATCATTATCTCAAAAATCCAAAGTCAAGAACGTTATCTCCATTTTTTTACATCTTCATGATCTAAAATATTTCCCAATTTCCATTTGATTTTTCATTACGCAGGCGTCCCTAACAATTATCATTGTACAATAAAACAAAAGTAAGAAAACGCTGAATCCTCAAAGAGCGTTTTTAGTAAAGGTAAGGAAATAAGTCCGATAGGAAGAAAACTTCATATCGATAATTTATCATGGCAACTGACTGACTGCCCTTAGATACAGTTAACTACTGCCCAATATCATATTGAAAGAAAAACGAACAAGTTCTGAGGGTCTTGTTTGAGCCAACAAAATCGTTAGTTGAAAATTACCAAAAAAATAATTCTTTGGTTCGAATTTCAAACTCTCACACATGAATAATTGCTCTGCTTTCAACAACAACGAAATATTTGGCTCAAGAGGCGGGTCATTCATACAAGACGGTGCCTTTTCAGGATAAAAATATCTCTTATAGAGGGAAGTTTATCAAGAGCAGTATATTTCGATACGAGTGAGACGGAATTTTCACGAGTGTGAAGTTCCAATCACACGAGCTGAAAATTCCCGTCTTACATGTGTCGAACAATATTGTCTGACAATGATATTAAGTTCAGCGACTGGCCGAACTGTGCCTTTTCCGTTTACAAGTAAATGAAAAGATTTGTGACTTTTCCGAATAAAACCCGAGTCGTAGGCGAGGGGTCACGTATGAAAAATCGTATAGAAATTATGTATACGGATTACGTATAGAATTTTTATACGACCCACTACCACATGTATAGAAACACATTTCGTATGGAGTTTCAACATTCCTCTACGTTTTTCTTTGGCGCGTTTAGAGACGTTTCGTATGAAAACACAAATTTATGTAAAAATTTATGTGTCGAAAATATTCGTATAGAAATATGCGAATATCATATACGGAAATCTATAGAATTTGTACACTCGTTTACTAAAGTTCTGAAACAAAATACGTAGGATGCAAGTCAGATTGTTTCAGAACTTTAGTAAATGATTGTATACCCAATCTATATAGAAAATTTCTATATGAGTTTTTCATACGTCGTGCAATCATATGAGCTAGAAAAGTTTTTTTAAGCTGTATGGCGAATAATATTTTTTTTTGTCATAACGGCTGTAGACAGTGATTCGCTGACGTATAGCTCATGATTGTAACCCTCGCCTTTGGCTCAGGTGCAAACTCATATTCGCTAGAAAAAAAATTTTCAGCCTAATGACGAAATATACTGTTTTGTCATTCCGGCCGTCAGGCAGCGTTTCAGGGACGCGGAGCTGCAATCATATGCTCCGATTGAATCGAATTGAATTGAAGCTCCGCTTCGCTCCATGTCCGTGAAACGCTGCCTTACGGCCGGAATGACAAAAAAAACTTTTCTAGCTCATATGATTGCAGCCCTCGCCTTCGGCTCGGGCTAGTATTTCGTAACGAGTGCAAAACAGTGTTTTTTGGCGAGTGGGAGGTTTATATCACGAGCCGGAGGCGAGTAATCCCACGAGCTAAAAAACATTTTTTCACGAGTTACGAACAATATTTTTCATCACAATGTGGCGGAAATTCACTTTTCGTCACAGCGTGATGAAAAAGTTTTTATGTCGCGCCGTGCAATAAGTCGAGTTTATCGCACGCGGCGCTTCGCGCAGCCTGCTCAAAACTCGACTTCTGCACGACTTGACATAAAATATTATAGAGCACTCGGTAATAAATTTCATTTTCAACGAATGTGTGTACAGATGTGTCTACACATTCGTTGAAAACGAAATTTGCGCCCTTGTACTCTAATGTACTATTTTCGGCCTGGTGACGAAATATACTATTTTGTGACGACAGCCGTAGGCAGAGATTCACGGACACGGAGTGAAGCGGAGACGCTGCCTTACGGCGGGAATGACAAAATAGTATATTTCGTCCTTAGGCCGAAAAAAACTTTTCTGGCGAATATGAGGTTTGCAGCACGAGCCGAAGGCGAGGGCTGCAATCATATTCGTCGGAAAAGTTTTTTTTGGTCGTATGACGAACAATATTTTTTGTCATGACGTTCCGCGTCCGTGAAACGCTACCTTACGGCCGGAATGACAAAAAAGTTTCTTTCGGCCTAGTGACGAAAAATGCTGCCGAAAAAGCGATAACAGGGTTGAAAAATATGACCAAGGCGTTTTAGCGACAAGCGAAGAAGGAAATGAGATGTTCCGTCAAACAATGCAGCGGGAGATTTGAAAGGGGAGGTTATATTTGTTAATGCTTTTGAAGATGCTGTGCATGAGGTGGTTTGAAGGAAATATCATGTAGACGATTTGGCAGCAGGTAAATGTTATTCATTTTGTCATGTTGAAGGAGTGCCTTTTTTCACGGATTTATTGAGATGGAATTCCTCTGTTATGCAATTTGAAGACGTGAGAAAACAGTTCAATTTCACTGCTGTCATAAACATTGGCGTTGCCGAGATTTTTTCTGAGGGGTCTTTCGAAGGAATTAAAGTACGTTTCTATCATGATGGACGGAAAGTGGCGTTTTTGCTTTTGTGGAGAATGAAATAGTATTTTTCCGGGCTGTTGCGATGGGGTTTTTTACTCGTGTGGCGTTGGCGTCCGAGCCGAAGGCGAGGACTGGCCAACCACACGAGTAAAAAAACCCCATCGCAGCAGCCTGGGACAAGATTTTTTTGTAGTGATTTTCAAGTTTTCGAGTTTGGGAAGTATGCAATACCAATTCCCAGACGAGAAATCGTGAGAAGCAGTACAGAAATAATATATTTTGATACAAGTACGACGGGTTTTTCACGAGTGTGAAGTTGGAGGCCCGAGGCGCTGCCGAGAGCTGTCAGTCCCACGAACTGAAAAATCCCCGTCGCACATATATCGAACTGTATTTTTCATCACACTGCCCGTAAAACGTCGTTTTACGGCAACTTCGTGTCCGTCAAACGCTGTTTACGGACATTGTGAAGAAAAATTATGTTCGTTCCTCGGCAGAAATAGTATTTTTCCGGCCTGTTGCGATGGGGTTTTTTACTCGTGTGGTTGGCCAGTCCTCGCCTACGGCTCGGAGGCCAACGCCACACGAGTAAAAAAACCCCATCGCAACAGCCCAGGAACAATATTTTTCTGTAGTGATTTTCAAGTTTTCGAGTTTGGGAAGTATGTAATATCAATTCTCAGACGAGAAATCGTGAGAAGCAGTACAGAAAACATCTTTTCTGACTCGTGTGGTTGCATTCCTCGGCTTCACCCGGCCTGCAGCCCTCACACTCGTCAGAATAGTTTTTTTTTCGTACTACTCTTCACTTTCCCTCGTTCGGGGATTGGTATTGACCCTTCCTCAAACTCGTAAAAGTGAAAATCACTACGGAAATAGTATCTCATGTCATAAAGCGATAGAAGTATTATCTGCCGAATGTGAGTTTATAATCCGAGCCGAAGGTGAGGATTATAATCACATTCCCCAGATAATGCTTTTATCGCCGTGTGACATACGATATTTTATGTCATTAGGCCCGATAAACCGCGATTCTAACCTCGCTTCGCTCGGTTAAAGGTTCACGTCTAGTGCCATGGGGTTTTTTTTTCGCGTGATTAGCCGGTTTTCGCCTTCGGCTCGGACGCCAACTCCACGCGACTAAAAAACCCCATGGCGCTCGTCCTGAAATATACTATTTCAACGATGTATAAATGAATTAGTTATGAAAATAACTAATTCAGTCTATAGACTGAAATAGTATGGAAAAATATATATCCATAGATATATATCAAATATGCCCCTGTGTTTTTCAAAAGGGCGTCTACCTTCTGGTTCTTTCAACCGATGAAAAAGGGAGAGGGTGCGGAATCAATTTCATCGCATCGCTAACGTATAACTTGACTACGTAATTTTCATGGAATCCAACATGGGCAGAGATGAATGTGATTTTTTCAGTTTCAAAGATATCCTCAAAAAACAAAATGCAAAAATGCAAAAAAGTCAGAACGAATTCCTGGGCACCCTTAATTGACTAAAAGGTCGTAAATTTCTTTGGCAATTGAATGCAATTAGATGTAGAACGTTAGGACCTTTAATTTCAGAGAAATCCCAAAAAACGAAGTGATCTCGGAAGAGCATGGCCCCCTGAAAGGATATAAAATAAAGTGCAATAACATCGAGGGAGAAATATTTGAAAGATCGCGGTTAATAACAATGCGATTGCCAGTACAGCCCTTGTTCATACAGAGAGAAAAAAAAATTGATTTTCGGAAAAATCTCACTGATTCTTAGGAATTTATCATTTATTATTGTTGCTACTGAACACTGACTAGAATAACAACATTATAATAGAATAACTGATTCAAATTTCGCGATGGACGCGAAAATTTAGAGAAGGTTCCCTGAAAATCAGTGACATCCTCCAGGAAATTAACGACGATACCACCGGAAGTGACAAAATTATGCAATTCCAAAATTCTGCACTCGTTGAAGATTTCAATCTTGAATTCTTCGAACTAGAGAATAGATTCTCAAAAATTACAGATGGATCCCGGAAAAGTAGTGACATGTCTCTGAAAACCGAAACTCTTTTTTCCCTGTGCACACTGAGAGAAAAATTTTCTAATATGTAGACCATAGTTACTTGAGAGAAGTAAATTATTTTCAATGGTTTAAATCTCAGAATGTTTGCGGTTCACGGAACTCGAATGAATTCTCATTTATCACTATCGTTGTGCATTATATGATGAATATATTACATATCGAAACATTGTAACTGCATAACAAAAAAATTACGAAAACAATAAATATTTGGAGATTGACGATCTTTCTACGCGATTTGAGTGAGTTCATTTACGACAAAATCATACTTGAGTACAAGAATATTGTAAAACATGAGACCTTTCTCGGGTCACGTGAGTTGAGATGCCTGGGAGAATTAAAGAATTGAAGAAAAATTACTTGTCTCAAGAAAATATGCTTCAGATATTAGAAATTTTTTTCTCAGTGTACTCTTTTTATATCTTCAAGGGCTCGGCTTCATGATAGTATTGTTATCTGAGTTAGTAATAAATGAATCGCACGAGTGGTTGAGGTTTTGATGATGAGTAATGGGGATATCAGTCGATCCTCACCTGTTGAACTGTTTTCATACCTGTCGAATAACCACCGCCTCCTGCCCGTCATTTCGTCGTGGTTTTTAACTTTCCGAAAGGAAGTTATGGAACTTTTTCTTCAGGATGAAATATATCTTCGGGGTTTTTTCTAGTGTTTGAAAGTGCGGATCTATCGTGAATCAAAGTTATTTGTTTGGATTATTTCCGAATGAAAAGTGATATCGACAGGAAAAGTGATATCTTACACTGATAGAAGGATTCAATTGCTATTATCGAGGCTTTTCAACTATTACCACGATTTGTTAAACATTAACAAATTTATTATAATATATTATATGTGTGTTGTGGTAATAGTTAGGAAGCCGTGTCAAGGGGACCCAGGTGAGATTTAAGTCTTCGGTTGATGAAAATAACTATCGAGCGATTTTTGATACATCACGGGGTACCTAAAAAACTATGATAAATTTCGTACCCAACCCATTTTACTCCGTACGTCAGGCGAAAACGTCGGTTTTCGTATTTTTGGCTTTGAAATGCTCCGCCCCCTTTTATTTTTAGATCATAGAAAAATAAAAAATTATCGATTTACTCGTTTTTTTTACTTTTGCGATATCATATAAAAATTGATATTTTGAATGGTTGAACATCAAAAAATAGTATATAAAACGTGTTTTCAGGAGAAGAGTTTTGATATTCAACTAGTCAAAATGATAATTTTTGTCCGGTATGAAAAAAGTAAATAAAAACCACGGGACACAAAAAAATTTAATTTTTCCATGATCTAATTGAGATGATCGAAAAAACTACCTAGTTTTATTTTATGGAATTTAACGAACATTTTGAAAGAAGAAAAGTTTGAGTCACATGAATTATCTGGTGCGAGAAGCATTTTAAAGCCAAAAACCCGACAACGGAGTAAATGGTTATTTCCATCAACCAAAGAGTTTCAAATTTCACTTGGGTCCTCCCTTAAGGATATCCAGGTATCTTTACAGTTTGGTACAGACTACACTATAGATTGAACCATTTTCAATCATTAAATGTGTCACTTAAATTGCGTGAAAAAAATGGAAAAAAAAATCACGAATATTAGCGTCATTCGAATTACATTTTGCCCAGATGATTATTTTTTTTTAAATTTGTTGTTTGTAAATAAGCGATTGAAATTGTTTAAACTTTCGGAAACCGACACCCGACATTCAAATTCAAATCAGCAAAGTGTAAATAATAAAATCATTGTAAAATTTCCGGAAACTTGGAGTCAAATGAGGCTCAAATGAAAGCTCTGATGTTTGACTGCACAAGTAGAAAAGCATTTCACTGGAGAAAAAATAGCCAAAGTCCTTGGATATCCTTAACAGCAACTAAAGTGTTTTACCTTTTGCTGGAAATGTCTATAACCGCGCGAAGTGATAGGGGTTTTCAGCTGCTGTAAGAAAATTTTTCTATAAACTCTTTCATTATCTTTGACTCTAGGAGTATAAAATTCATAAATAATGGCCACTGCGCAGAATAGAGAGGATCACGATACCATTTTCCGCCAGTACAATGATCCAGTAAGTATTTATGATACTCAATTTCTCTCGCAATTTCTATTTATTAAGTTGTCGGAAAATTAGAAAAATTAAAGTTACGCATAGTAAAAAGTAAAAGAACATTTAGTGCATGATTCAGAAGATTCTATTGGATTTTTATTGGATTTTAAGAGCGTAAAAAGCTTCTTGACAAATATGACATAAAATTTCTGATGAAATTTGCCCTTCTGTATCATTGAAACCTTAAGATTACCTGGAAATTTTCTCATGTTTTATCGTTCTCTCATGGTTTATGTTACTACACTGAGAGAAAAATATGATTCTTCTGACTATATTCCATCACCATCGAACTATAGTCAAAAAGTCGGTACCTATTCTTCACTATTATCAAAAAGTCCTTAACAATTTTGCATGGGTTACGGTAACTATGGCCGGAGAAGTGATTACTACAATGGAATGTAGTCCCTGCAACTATTTTATAGTTCTACTCACGATAGATTTGTCGTGGTTACTTTTGAACTTTGGTTAGTTTAACTGCATTTTGATTTGCAAAAATTACGCTTGTAAAGTTACTATAACGTTCACCAAAAGTGCCTCAATTATTTTCTTATTGTAAATCGAACTTCAGATTTTTCTCTCAGTGTAATCGCTCATCACATCTTGTGCAACATTTTGTACTTTTATAAATGTATCATCAAACGGGTTGATTCTAAAAAATTAGGACGTATAGTTGACGACTTTCTAGTGGTGACTGATTACTTCGTTTATAGTATTGGAAGGAGATTTTTGAGAAGTATGATCTCGACGGTGACGGCAAGATATCGCACAACGAGCTGAAGGCAATGATCGGAGACTCAAGCTACGCTAAGGACATACCGCCTAGAGTGGTGAGACTCATAATGCAGAAAGCCGATGTGGATGAGTCAGGGTATCTGGAGAACCCAGAATTTATAGCTATGGTGAGATACTGTGGTCATCGATCAATTCTTCGATTCTTGTTTGATCGAACACGAAGAAAAAAAATATTTTTGCCAAGGAATCATTTTCTTGGGAGAAAAATTGATTTTTTCAGAAGCGTATGTCTCCAGGCCCGTCATTTCCAGCTAGTCTATGTCCATTATCGAACATTACAATTGATTGTGCTACATATGACCTAAAATGAACAACCTTCATTATTTTTCAATTTTTTCATTTTTGAGATTTTTTACATAAAATTATTTCAAATCATTCTAAATGTTGAAAATTCAGTAGCTAAGCGGTAAAACGGTTTAAGTTGATTTTGATTATTGGCCAGTTTTTCATTAATATCTCGAAATCTTAGGGAGATGGCAAAATTTTTGTCATGACCTTTTTTGTAGTCCTCAATGCGCTTTACAAGAAAGGTTTGTTTGGTGAGGAACTAGGTTTAGGGTGGATGTGGGAGAAAAATGTGGAGGGAGATGCTGGAAAATTAATGATGACACTGATTATAAAAATATCACTATTTATTCGTGGGATCGAACCACGTCGTTAATATTTTATACACTCTATGGTAAATTGTCACTGTTGATAGTCTTCAATTTTAATAAAGTTGAATCACTGATAATAGTTGAATTGAGGCTGATAAAACTGAGGTGATGTACTGAACGAAACGTTGATCTTACAAAGACCGGTGATGTACTTGGTTACTAGTAAGCTAGGTGAGGTTCAAGAAGCCACTGTACTCGGTGAGGAGCGATGTAAGACTTCTACAGGTGATTTGCCCGAGTTAGACTTGTACGGTGAGAGGCTAAGCCTAAACTGATTCGCGCGTGTTTCGGTCACTTATGACTGATGACCCGAAGGGTCCCGAAGATTTTCGAAGTAGGCCGATCTAGTCGACCAGAATGTTCTGGAATTTTAGTTGCGTTTCAAACAAGGTTATTACGTAAATTTCGTTATCTCCCTTAAATTCTGAGATATTCCTTGAAAACTAACCTAAGAGAAAAATCGGCTTAGACCGTTTTACCGTTTTGTTGCTGAATTGTCAAGGAGTTTACGTCATATATGGCATGATTATCCCATAGTTCAACGTAATTGTTATCTTTTGAAGTGGATTTGGACCACCTGCAAATGAGTGGCCTGAAGAAATACGTTCCTAAAAAATTGATTCTTCCCGCAAGCACATAATTCCTTGGCAAAAGTAATTTTTTTTCTCATTGTCAGTGAAGTACGACTGGGGTTGACTTGAGCATGCAGGTGACGGTCGGTGGATTGTTTGTTATGTCCCAAAAAGTGGAGCATAATTTCCCAACTTGTTTTAAAAAATGGCCAAACGTAAGTGGCACATACTTCAGATTCAAAACCAAAAATTAAGAAATATAAATAAGAATCAGAATATACGTGCATTAAAAGACACGTATATTTGCAACAGAAAGTAAGCTATATGAGGCAATGGCCGAAGCGTCAGAGCCCCTGAGGAAATAAATACGCGAGACTGTACATCTGATACCTTCTGTATCAGAATGAACTTAACGATTCTAACTTCGTGGAAATTAATTGAATATAGGAAAGGGTAGGGCAAAACGCATCGCAGGGCAAAACGGACCACTTACAGAAAATTGATAATTTTTGTTTTTGCTTCCGAATGGAAGCATTGTAATCGTGATTTTTTTCGATTTCTTAATTTTGAGTGAAAGTGCTTAGAAATGTGACGACACTTCTTGTCTACAAAACCCCTGTAACCGATACGATCCAAGAAACTTACTTTTAATTCAACACATTCAGTGTTCCTAATTTGAAGGAAAGAAAAAAAAACAAAAATTATCAATTTTCTGTCAGTGGTCCGTTTTGCCCTGCGGTCCGTTTTGCCCTCCCGGTCCATTTTGCCCAACCCTCCCCTAAGAGTATTATTCAGTACTTGTCGCGTGTGAATTATTCCAATAAATAATCGAACCCAACCCGCTGGGAACTCTGTTTGTTGATTGCCAGTTGGTTATCAATCGGTGAATGAATCGATGAATTGTTGATCCGGAGACCGATCATCACCGATCGACCGTCGTTTGATTAGGTGCACGAGTCGACTCTTCTTTTTTTTCCTTTTCTTGTAAAAAGGTTTTTATCCAAAGACTGTCATGATTAAAAAAAGCTACGAATCGAATATCCTACAATTTGGGTGAACTCCGACTTGATTTTGAGAATAACATTATAACTCTTGTTGGTATAGAGGAATTATAAGTACATGTAATATGAAAAAAATATATTTTTTACATGCTTGAAAAAAAAATTGCATGGGTGTAAAAAAAAACATTTCTTCGGTTTGTGCGACAGCGAAAGTAATGTAATTGATTGATTACATATAAAGGGCGTCATTAATGTTGGTCGACTCCTTTACCTAATGATCTGTTGAAAATATTAAAAACCCATCACAATAAAGATCACTGTTAAATAATAAGCCTGTCACTGTTAAAAATATAAAAACCTATAACAATTCATCATAGATGACTTGATGAATGTTAGATCACGATTACTGCATTTTCTGTGTTACTTTTGAATTTGTTTTATCATCCCTGAATAATAAATCGATGAAAAGAGATGAGCTTGCGAGAGATTGACAAATATCTTTAAAAGGAGTCCATTTAACAATTCGTGGTTTTTGTGTTCAGTAGGGGAGGGGGTGTCTGTACCGCCCACCTAAGGGGAAATTCCAGTTTTATATTTTATATTTCAACATGAGTATAAAAAACGTATTTGTGAGACTTCTTTAACTATTGAACTCATTATTCTCGGAGTGTAGACGCCTAATTCTCCTTAGAATTCACAAAATTCATTGAAAATAAAAGACAGAGCCTATTGAGCGGTACTACCCGCCGTCGGGTAATACCGCTCGGCACGACTCCAATGCCGCTCATAGGGTTTTGCGTGTACAGTAGACTCTCGTTATAGTCGCATTTCCCCTCATATCGATTTTTTCGAGCTCGAGCGCTTCCCCCACTCCGTACCACCTCCGAGGTGTGGATTTAAATGCCCCTGTGTTTTCTCGGAATGGGCTTTGTTTTGCATTTCTAAGAAATTCGGGAAATAAAATTTAGGAAAAATGAATTTGCGAGAGAGAAATTCAGTTCACTCTTGACTGTCACGAAGAGAGGGTCTTTGCAGTGGTGCATAATCCTGCTTTTTATTTGAATGAAGTGAATAAATTTTGGAGTGTATTGAACAATGCGATGTTATTAATATTTCTATTCATTTCATTAATTTACTAAAAGTGTTCAACGCAATTCATTTTGTTAATTTAATAAAAGTGTTTAATGAAAATAATATTTATATTTAATAAAAATGTTCAATGCAAATTGAAGAGAAAAATAATTGGAGTAAAATTTATTTTCTTATCGCTCCCGATTCCCGGAATTTAGGCTTACCGTGATCGCCTGGTGGGGGAAGAGAAATACAGTCCCATTCTCAGAATTGGCTGCCCCTACAGCCCCGTGAGTGCGACTATAACGAGAGTCTACTGTATCGCTCGCGCCGCAACCTAACTGTACTCGAGTGCTGTCGAGCAACTACGTGGCCGATCCTATGAGCGGTATTACCGGCACCGTTCGGCGTCAACAAAATTATTGATAATTATTGACATGAGTGGAGTTTTGAGTTCGAATTGGTCTCAAATTACGCGTGAAAGTACCACGAATCGAATAACCACAGTTTAATATAAGAATTCAGCGTTTGAAACTATCAAAAACTTTAATTACAAGTCCACAAATTTTGCACTGTAAAGACCTCAAAAGTTCGTTACGTGTTTTTTCATATTTAAAGCGGTAAATAAAGTGAAATTTTTCCGACAATCACATCCTATCATCAAATTCTTCATGATCAGGAACAGACAGAAATTTTCAAGTTGATGGTTGTGGACAAAATCGGGTGAACGGTATCATCCGCTGAGCGGTACAGGCACACCCTTCCCTACAGACTCCTTGTCAATATAAAATTTATATTCGAGGATTCTTGAGATCCAATGCAGCCTCTCTCCGTCGTGGATCCTGGATGACGCCCAGAGCTGGAAAGCTACAAGTTCTTGTGATTCTCCTTCTGATAAGCCCGAAAATTTCGCGGTATTGAAAACTCCTGATTCAAATTACAGATTTATAGAAAAGACATGCAGGGATTCTTCGGGCGCTTCATGCATCACTATGTCGACACAGTGGTGCCGAGGAGGCCCACCCTCGCCACTCAATTGAGTGCGAGGCTCTCCACGGACTCTCCCGACGGACAATACGAGAAGCAGTACAGTTGTAGTCCACCTGCTGTAGGTATGATCATCATATCGATGATCGAAATTATCTTGTATGTTTACGACATTGTGAAGGAGCCGACGAAAGCGCCATCAGAGCTGGATGGACCTACTGCTAAATTACTCATTTACAATCCCCGTAAAAGATACGAGGCATGGCGATATCTGACTTATATGTTTGTACATGCCGGGTAAGTTCAACATTCACATTGTAAATTGTAGAATAGAATTACAATTCCCATTCACTAGCGATACAATAAAACGGTTCAAGTGGATTTTTTTTTCGAAAATAAGATTTCATATATCAATTCCTAAGATGACCACATCCATTTTTACAATTCTTCCAAAGCCAGTGGGGAATTGCTTTCGTCACAGCATAGTCAATACATTTTTTCTGATAAATTACAAACTTGCTGTCGAATGGAATTTTTATGACGGCGTATTTTACAATCCCCATAAAAGATACGGGACATGGCGATATCTAACTTATCTGTTCGTACATGCCGGGTAAGTTCAACATTCACATTGTAAATTCCGGAATAGAATTACGATGCCAATTCACAAAATAATGGATAATTTAAATTTTCAATTGACTATGAATTAAGTAATTCACAATATGCGATTGTCAATCGACTATTGAGGAAATAATTTTAGATTTTATAAAAGGATTTTTCGATTAGCCAACTAATCGTCAATCTTCGGAACTCAATTACTGCTCGATAAATTAATTCGGAATTTGAATATTTAATTGATGATTAATTTAATAATTAAAAAATTGTCGGGTAATCTTAACCAATTAACTAATGCAAAATGTAACTTAAGGTCCGGGTGGATTATCTTTCGAACGCGATCTTGGTTGTTTTTTTATTTTGATAATTTGAAATGATCTCCAATTGCTACTCAGTTTTACATAGCTCTCGAGTCTCCAAAAATTATGATTGTACAATCAAAAAAACGTTGACAAAAAGCTGAATATTATCAAAGAGCGTTTTTGCATCATATTGGGAAATAAACTCAATAGGAAGGAAATTGCAAATTATTAACAGTAGTCAATGGCTGCCAGATCCTTAGTTACCCTGATAAATTATCTATTCACTATTTCCTCTCTATCGAACTTATTTCTTAATTTTTATTAAAAATGCTCTCGGAAAATGTTCAATTTATTTTTCTACTTTTTTTGATTGTACAATTATAATTTTTAGGGACTCCTGCGTTATGTAAAATCGAATGGAAATTGTGATATATTTTAGATTATGAAGATGGAAAAGAATCGAGATAAAGTTCGAAAGATAATCCACCCGGGCCTTAATTTAAAATTGACGACTGTACCGATGTCTGCTGCTGAGGTCAAAATTAGTCATTCTGACAAAAAATTGCAAATTTCGGATTTGAAAAATATAATACTTCCACTCGGAAGCAAAAGTTGAGAATCCTCTTGAAAACATGAGAAATGGGGATTGCTCCTTAAAAATTCCGCTCATGAATTGTCCTCATCTTCATTGATTTCAGAGTGATCCATTTAACGGGGAACTTATTAGTTCAAATACTGCTGGGAATCCCCTTGGAGATGGTCCACAAGTGGTGGCGCGTGTTAAGCGTCTACTTCGCCGGAGTAGTAGCTGGCTCCCTTGGAACATCAGTCGCCGACCCGAATACCTACCTTGCCGGTGCATCTGGCGGGGTTTACGCACTCATAACAGCCCACGTTGCAACGATCATAATGAACTGGCAACAAATGAAATACGCTGTGGTTCAATTATGCGTGTTCAGCGTTATAACGATCCTTGACGTGGGCTCGAACTTTTACAATTGTTACGTGCTCGATAAAAAGGATGGAATTGGCTATGATGCGCACTTGGCTGGTGCAGCTGCTGGATTATTAGTTGGAATTAATGTTCTCCGTAATTTAAAGGTAAAAACGTGGGAAAAAGTGGTGTGGTGGGCTAGCATTCTCACTTACACCGCTCTTATGACTGCTGCCATACTCTGGAATATCTTTGGGATGAAATAAAAACTCGTCTTTGGAATAATAAATATTTTCCAATTCTTCTTTCATCACTTTTCTACTGAATAATGGTTCTTTCTAAATCAATTTTGGCCATTTAATTAGGGTTCGAATGGTAACACGTAACAGTATTAATGTTGCTTTCACTATGTAAGTTATGTATTTATTTTTCAATAAATATATTTTTTTATAAAACAAAGTCAAATAAAATCCTCTGCATGAAATTCGATTTACTTGATTTTTTAACCCTAGACTGGTCACCATGCGAGGGAATTGCCGCAACACGTGGTTTTATCAGCGTTGCCAACCTGAACGTAGCCGATTATGGCACCAACGTAACAAAATTATGGTATTTCAATTCAAATTATGGTATCCACGTTAAAAGTGCCTTTTTCGGAAAATTGAAATGGAACACACAAAATCCTATTTTTTTCTCTTCTTTGAACACTATCAAACAGAAGAAATAACTAGGAGCGGTACTGCCGATGTCTGGAAGGATAAACTGGGTGGAGAATAAACATAATCGAATACAAGCACACAGTAAAATGTAAATATTTATAGCTCCTGGATTATTCTTGGCTCAAATTCATCTCATTCATCACGTCAACAATGAAAAAGTGGAGGATATCTATCTGGATGAAGTTGAAGAACCAATAGTTGGGTCTGATCATGATGATGAGGAGGAAAATCTTGATGTTAGTCTGGATGATTAACGGCTAGATGCTAGGGAAAGAGAGATTGATGACGAGATTGACCAATAGCTCATCCAAATACAAAATGATTTCGTGATCAGTTGCCAGATGACGAGAGATTTTCGGATGATCTATTGGCAGAATAAAGAATTAAAAAAAAAACAAGCATTTTTTGTGGTCTCCTCCCCGAAACAAGAAATTATGGTAAAATTAGGGATACCATAGACCTCTCTATGGTATATGGTATCGGATGTGAAATTATGGTAGCGGTACCATAATTATGGTATGGTTGGCAACGCTGCGTTTTATTCACCTTGCCATCGACTGGTTGACCGGAAAATTTTTAGAAAAATTGAATTCGTCAATTGAAGTATCTGGAAAATTCTAGTATTTTTTTTCAATATTGTATCCTTAATTCTGGGAGAAAAAAAATTATTTCCAACAGGTGAACAATTTTTTCCCGTGTTAAATGAAATTGCCTGTTGCGCGACGTTGCTGGGAACTCGCTAAGTGCGCCCGGGAAGTGCAGAGTGGATTCGGCAACGCTGGAGCCTAAATAACACAGCGGCACTCTCCCGCAAAGGTGACTAAAGTCGCATTTTCCCGTCAGGTGACTAGACTAGGGTTAAATTTGTGTCATGAATATGTCATCAACCAAAAATGATCGCACGCAATTTGCTGCGTGCCTTCTGTTGAACTGTCGGTTTATTAGTGTATTACTCCCATGCAAATTCTGCAATATATGAATTATGTCTTTGTTTCTGTGACGTTTGAGGTTTTCCAAGGTGGGTTAAGGAATAACCGACAATAACTAAAAATCCTCGATTTGCCAAGTTGACCCTCTGTTTCGGCTAATTTCCCCGGTTGAGCTCACGGGGAGTTCGCCCTTTTAGAGATGATCACCGGGTGTATAATTTTTGGGAAAATATGCGCCAAATAACAAGACCGATTTGATAGATGGAATGATAGTGAAATGAATTAAGCCGTTTCATGTCTCCAAGACAGTGTTCCAAATTTTGGGTCCAGCGTACGCGCGTTGGTAGGAAACTGAATTATTTCGTCAATTAACAACAATAAGAATTGAAATTAACATGAAAATTGAATCGGACTCCATTAGGTAAATAACTTGACCGAGTTGAAATTTTGGCTTTTGTTGGGTTCATACCAACTGCGTTCCCGTCGCGAACCCTGGGTAATGCTAAGCGCTAGTGAGGCTGGATACTTTAATAAAAAGTGCTTCACTACACGTTGAATTCATATGAACACCTCATAGGTTGAAATTAAAAAAATACTTTTAGAAGGAAAAGCGCAGAATGGAGTTTTCATACATCTACATGAGCTTGAGCATCCGTGTAAATAAGTGTGATGACTCAAAGAGGTTACATTCATTTATAGCAACCACGTTCCCACCTAATTTTCGTCGATGTACTTCAAGATTAACACATACTTTAATATTTAAACTTTTAATATTTACCTATTAGTAAATTTTGAAAATAAAAGCCGGCAATACTTCCAGCAAGTTGAGAAAAATTTAGAGGACCGACTGTCCTGTTTCGCCTGTATCCGTGAACTACTTCTTTTTGGGACTGCAATTCGTTGTTACCTCAAAAACGCAAATTAAGCATTCTCACGATTTTAGAGACTAAGACAGCCATGCCGCTCTTATTGACAGTCTCCAACACAGTCAAAGCGTCACCGTGAAACTGCTCAGGTAAGATAGTGACTTGAAGAAACTGAAATTCTTTGTTTTTGAGTTGAATGACAAAAAAGATAAAAAATATTATTTTCCAAGCAGAAAATAACCGACGTATAGACTAGGTCCGTACGTCACACTTCATAACGAACATGTATAGTTTTTTATAATAGGAAGTTGAATAAACTCGTTTGCATCAGATTTCAATTCGACAATTTCCTTGATTTGTTTCATGAAGGCCTAATTCCATAATCGCAAATCCATGAAAATCAGTGACATATCTCCAAAATTACTGAGATGTTCTTGACAATCAAATTAGTATAGTTGGACACTAGGCCATGGGAAACTTTTTCTGGCGAATATAAGTTTACGAGAACGAGCTGAAGGCGAGTTCTGTAATTATATAAGGGAGAAAAGTTCTTCACGGCCGTGTATTGAACAGTATTTTACACAACCTTCGCATGCACAAAATCCCACTTTTCACACATTGTGATGAAAAATATCATTCGATACTCATGGGAAAAGTGTTTTTTGGCTCGTAGGATTATATCACTCGCTTTCGGCTCGTGCTATAAACCTCCCATGAGCCAAAGAACACTTCCGCACTTGTATCGAAATATACTATTTCGTCATTAGGTCCGAAAACCGCGATTTAACCGAGCGAAGTAACTATATTGGCAGTCTACTGTTATGTCTCGCTTCGCTCGGTTAAGTCGCGATTTGCGGGCCTAGTGGCGAAAAGTATATTTCGATACGAGTCCTTAAATAATATTTCGATACGAGTGCGTAAAAGGCTTTTTTGAGCCGCGGGAGGTGTGTTACGCTCGTCGAAGCCAAGTGCTTTCCTCCCAAGGGTCAAAATCCTTTTTCCCATGAGTGTTGAACTCTATTTTTCGTCAAAATATGTGGAAAATGGAATTTTACGTATGCGAAGCGTTGGTAAAATTTCACTTTACTCACCAGTGAAAAAAACCTGTGAGAAAAAAAAGTGAAAACTTTTTTTGTGATGCCTGCCTGAAAAGTGCACTCTTTGAAAACGTTTAGTGTGCGCAAAGCGGTTGTTTTCCGCACGGCGTGCGTAAGTTTCATAAGCGTGCATAAAGTGAATTCTCGAACAGGGCATAAATAAAATTCTTGAACACTGAACTCGGCAGGTATCATACAAAATAGGATGCATTGCAGTGCGTGCGAAAAAGTGGATCTTTCCGCACTAGTAACCAGGGATAGGCAATAATATTAGATTTTGGCAATATTAAAAATGATTATCTCGTTATATTGTTCAAAGTTTAACTATATTTACCAAATTTAAAATATTATAGAATTTATTAGCTAAATTTTTCGATTGATGGTTAATAAAATATTTGATAATACTAAAATGTAATTTAGCTAATTCTAACTTTAGGTACTTGATTTTCGATTATCCAAATCATCGTCAATCTTCCCACCTAGATTATTGGTTGACAGCATATTTCGAAATTTAAATGTACAAATTGATGCTTACTTTAATATTTAAAATTTTAAGATTTATGTTAAAATTGACAGCTTCACAATTTAACGGTAATTATAATTGATTGGTATGCCTATCACTGCTAGTAACACAATATACTATTCTTTGTGATTGATAGCGTCTCAAATAGATGAACTGGCTACTCCATTCCGGATGATCTATTTGAGACGCTATCAATCACAGAGATCCGGATGAAGGTGATTTCTTTCTAAACATTTGTGAACAAGGACCAGTGTTCTGGAATTTAATGAATAATGTGGCAGAGTCCCGAGTGAAAATTCTGGTCAGGTCTTGATCAAGTTTGGATCAAGTTAGACCTGACCACTGATCAGGTATTGATCAAGTTGACGGATCCGGTCTTGATCAGACATGTTACGCCTCTGACCAATCCGGATTTGATCAGGACGAATGGATCCGAACTTGATCAAGTCAACTGTATGAAAACCGGATGACCTGTCTGTCAGTATCAATAAAAATGATCAATGATAATTAATCCAAAACAAAAGATAATTCAATTCTTTTACTGTGGGCCGCCTCTTTTAATGAATCTCTGCTGTTATTACCTCTGAAAAAGCTTATTATTTTTTTACCGATGCTGGGGATCGAACCGGCGACCCTATGATTGCTAATCCTATGCCCTAACCGCTACGCTATCGCGCTATTACTATTGAGTAAACTGTACATTGCCTACATGATTTGTATCGGGGTATTCGTTGAATTTACGATTATTCCTGATCTCGCGGATGTGCGTGTGTATTCTCAGAGATAAAATATGGTCAATTAAATTTTTATTTATTTTATTAATGAATAATAATAATGATAATAATAACACTAAAAAATAAATAGACATTTGGTGATTTTTTTCTCAAGATCATTTGCGTGTAAGTTTGATACTCCTCTAATACGTATTTACGGCATCATCATCCCTCCCTTCTGTACATTTGAGAAGGGCTGGCTGTTAATTAAATTGATTAATTTAATTTAATGTATTTTAATTATAGTATAATGATCCTTTTTAAAGATTGTGAATTATTATTGATAATGGTTGATAAAAATTAATTTGAATAGTATAATAATAGTTAATTAAATTATCCGAAAAACTTATTAAAATTAATGTCAGGTGGACCGGATCTGAATCTGATCATTTTGTCTTCAATTGACTAGGTTCAAATGCCGATCAAAGACATCAACTCGGAATTTGATCAAATTGGGGTCAGGCAGCCGACTTCAGGGTGAAATCGTGCCTACCTGATCAAAACTTGGTCAGGTTCTCATCAGGCATCACCTGATCCTGTCTACCTGTTCAGAACTTGATCTGAACCCGCCTGTAGTTTTTCGGATCCGATCTGCTGGATGAGAACTTGGTCAGGTTCTCATCACGAATCACCGGATCAGTCGAACCATACAAAAGCCTGATCAAGTTCTGATCGTCCTTCAGGTGGGCCTGAAGCAATTTCGGGGGGGGGGGGTTCCGGGGGTGAGAAGCTACACTTGAAGAACACTAAGATAGAGGAAGGAATATTGGAGAGGGAGGAATTTGATAGGTTGAAATCAGTGGGGTCGATTATGGGACTAATGAGAACACGACCTTGGCCAGTGCTCTTGTTCATAGTTTCATTCATTAATTGTTATTTAAGTGTTAGTAGTGGGGGGATTGGAGAAATGGTTAATTCTTCGATGATAAATAATGCGCATCGCGATCAGACGTTACCTGTTGGACTGTTCTAATACCGATCGAATGATTGCCGGTTCCAACTCATCGATTTTTCGTTGATTATTTCTGGTGTCCAACAGTACTCGTACTGGATCTGAGTTAATCTCTTCCAAGTGTTTTTGAATTCGTAATAAGGTGATATCAACAAGGTATTTTCCTTTAAACGTCTCCAGAGGGATTTCTGCGAGTATTGAAACAGATAGGAGGTTTCACCTGTTGTGAGATCATTTATTATTTTTTGTGGTTTTGACGTTCCAGGAGTTTTGAATATATCGGGATGGCTACTAGATCGAGCCAAGAGGAGCACGAAGGCACTTCTCTTCAGCATGATGATTCGGTAAGTCTTTAAGATTCTGATTCTTCATTCATTAACTCTTCACGGACGGGCCCCTTCTATTACCAAGTGTAGTATGTGCTCAATACGACGTGAATTCAATTACTTCTAATGAATGGAAATTTTTGAAACCGGTATCTAATTGAAACTACAGTATTCCGATTTCCAATTAGGTTTGTCTGATCAAGTTCTTCTTCATAGATTTGGAAATAATCAATTTTGAAAACAAGCGTTCACATTAACACGGCTCGGTACGATGCCGATATTAACCCCTCGACCCCGTACGTGAGGGGTTAATATGCACTAAGAGTTTCTCTCTCATATCAGTTACTAAAGACTGAACCACAGAGCCCAAGCAGCCGAAGGTATTAAATATTATTTAAATAGAGACAGTTTTAAGATATAGCGAATCTACACTGGTTTTATATTTTTGTATGCCTCCAATAGTCATTCTAGTTTACCTCAGTGGTGTTAAAAAAACTACTACTTTGTATTGAAGTAGAAAAAATGTTTTCTTCGTCGTTATCGAAATTCGCACCTGCTACGGGTATGAGACCCATTTGTTGGTTTTCAGTGAGAATACCCATGGAAAGTAATCCCCACACTGAGAGAAAAATCTGAAGTTCGATTTACAATAAGAAAATAATTCAGGCAGTTTAGTGAATGATACGATTTTTTTTTGTATGCGGCACATAACATTATAGTAACTTCACAAGCGTAATTTTTGCAAATCAAAATGCAGTTAAACCTACCAAATTTCAAAAGTAACCACGATAGATCTATCGTGGGTAGAACTATAAAATAGTTGCAATGACTACATTCCATTGTAGTAATTACTTCTCCGGCCATAGTTACCGTAACCCATGAAAAATTGTTGAGGACTTTTTGACTATAATTCGATGGTGATGGAATATAGTCAAAAGAATCATATTTTTCTCTCAGTGCACGGAGACACATCCGTATCACCAATCAGAATCGACTAAATAAATTTGGCGGGAAGAACTTACGATCTGTTTCGCAGAGAAAAAGCAGTTTTGATTTTCGGGGACATGTCACTGATTTTCAGGGATTTATCCGCAATTATTAAGGATTCGCGATTGTGAAGTTCAGTGAGTGGAATTGTTGAAATTCATCAATTTGTAGTGATATCGTCACTTATTTTCAGAGCAATGTTAATAATTTTTAGGGACCCATAGATAGAAATCACTAATGATCAGGGTCGTTCTAGTCAGCGTCCAGTATCACCAATAATTGATTATAGATTCCTGAAAATCAGTGACATGTTCCTGAAAATCGAAACTTTTTTTTTCTTTGTCGGTTACACGAATCGGGCTCCACGTAGATTCGGGCGATGGGTTTTCCATGTCAATCTCTATAGAAGCAATATCCATATGACAAATTGGAATCCATGAAATAAAGAAATTATTGCACGATCCTTTGTGAAAATTCGATCATAAAACTCAGTTTCCTTTTTTTATGACATGATTCTGAAGTTGAAAAAAATTTGAAAAATTTGACACATCATTTTGAAGTGGATGGAACTTCTACAAAAAAATTAAGCAAAAATTTTGAACAAAAGAATGTTCTACAATGAAATATAGCAATTTTTTATGTTGAAACTACTATAAAAAATACTTCAAGTTTGAATTGGAATCAATAATTGACGATAATATTTACAATAAAAAATCTTATAGAGTTTGATCGACAGTCCTTCAAAGTTTATTGTTCATTTTCTTCAGATTTTTTCCGTGAATTGAATAAGTTACGCGCGACCAACGGACTGATAATAATCTGGCCGTTTGTTGCAGGATTCGTAATTCCATATTTTTTCATTCTGAATGTATTATAGTTCATCGATTTATTTTTATTGTTATTTTACATCGCTTCGACTCGGTTGAGTATATTGGGATGATGATCAAGACTTTAAAATGGTTAAATCTCACCATTCTCCCCGACCGGGATTTGAACTCGGAACCTTGCGCACGTGAGGCAACACCTCACCCACTGCGGTAGGTCGTATCGGGCGAATTCGTCGAATTATAATCCTTTTTGATAGTTCCTCATCAAATTAGATCTAACTATGTTATAATGTGACAGATCATCGAAAAAAAAGTCATATCCATCCGTAGAGATCAATATTGTGATAACGCCTGGGGTGGAGTAGTGCCGGAATAATCATCTATTATTTTCTGTATCTTCAGCCGTTCACTCGAACTAATTAATGTATCGGCTTCAACTCATTGAACCCTAATTACACTATAAAAAATAGAACGAAAAACGTATGTCCATATGTAAATACTTGGCTGAAGGCCGTCGGGCGATGCCCTATCGAAACAAAATTAGCTTTTTGTATATTGTTCTTGCAATAAAGCTCATTAAACTAATTGTAAGTTACGTTGTAATTGATACTAGTCGAAACGAAAATTTTGTATCGAGTTATTAGAACAGCCCCTATGGCATTTATGTTTTTTTGTGATTACTCAATATTGTTTGTAACACGTTATTGTACTCAACATTTCTATCTGGGATTTAATATTAAAGGGAAGGGAACAAAAATGTAAAAACCCGAGAGGGTATACATATGGATGAATAAAATAAAAATAAAGTTCGTTAAAAATTAATTAAAAATTAGGCCACATCTCGGAATTAATATCGCATTCACTCTTCTGATTGATTAGTTTAAGCTTAAGAACGACCTTCTAATTAATTAATGATCATTTTACTATCGCCATTGATGACGTTACGATCTTATAATGATCGAATAATGGTTATTTTACATGTATCAAATTCCGATTATTATATATTCTATACTGATGATAATTATATCTAGAGAGGGGTCTGACAGAAATGTATTAAAATCAGTGGAAATTGGTTTTTTAGTAATATTGCGTTCCATCGAATCCATTAAAGTTCCTGTTAATTTTGTTCTATTTTTTATATTCCAATGATCTCAACAAGATCTTTTTTTAATTTCCGCCCGTTATGATTATTTTCCATAACATTCCTCCAGGTATACTGTTGAATTTCATGAAACAAAATACTATTCAAAAATTCATGTCCACACTGATTTAGGTTATGATTCACCATTTGTAGGGAAACAATGTTTTCGATATATTTGGATATATCACTTGATTTTCGGGGACCCATCTCTAATTTTTAGGAATGTATCACCGGTAATTGGCGATGCACGAGAAATTCTTTAGAAAACTTTTATTGCTAGCATGGGAAAAAGTGACGGCCACCGAATAATTCCAGTGCCGGTAATGGAAATTTTATTGAATATCGCGTGAATTTTTTTCATTTTTATATGAAATTTTTATAGAAATCTCCGGCAATTTTATACTTTGAAACCCTTCGAAGTTTTACCTTAACCGCACTAGAATTTTTCGAAAGAATTGCTCTCCGTGTAGTCTAAAAAATCTGTGCCACGTACCTGGGACTCAGTGACATATTCTTGATAATAAAAACAAATTCTCTGTGTTCCTTAATTGTTAATCAATGGCCTTAATAGTTGATAAGTATCGTTAACAGCAATTAAATCCTTCCATCTTTTTTATTACTGTATACAGCTTGACATTTGAACTCGAAGAATTTCAATCCTATGAGTATAAATCTATTCAGGAGAGGATATCATGAAGATTTATCACATCGATATTGTATTTATAATGAAAGGTGAATGTAGCGTTGGGGGTGGGGTGATTAATCACCTCGGTGTATCTGGGGGTGTAACAGTAGAAAGCTAATTATATGTGTACGTCCACGTGAAAAGGGCCCACTTTGTCGCATCTAGTTTCCAAGATATTCACGTTTTTCTCTCCATATCTCCCATTTAAACCAATGTTAAATTGTTTTTTTGATCATCTATACTGACGTCAGTTTTTATTCTATCGGGTTAATTTTGGGCTCAAAATGTGAGAAATCTGATCAAGATTATCGGAACATACATAACTACAATACCGTCAAAGTGGGCCCTTTTCATGTGGAGGCCCACATATAAAGTTGAGATGATCAGTCTTTCTTTTTTACTTGTAGAACTGGAAGCGGATTTTCCAGGAATATGATCTCAACGGTGATGGCAAAATCTCATACATTGAACTCAAGACAATGGTCAGAGATTCTGGTGGCAGTGATGACATTTCACCTTCAGTGATGAGACTGACCATGCACAAAGCTGACGTAGATGAGTCAGGGTATCTAGAATACCCAGAATTTATGGCCATGGTGAGATGACTAAATATTAAAATCCGTAGTCTTGGATTGGAGATTGATCTGATAACGAGTTATTACACTGAGAGAAAAATATGATTCTTCTGACTATATTCCATCACCATCGAACTATAGTCAAAAAGTCCTCAACAATTTTGCATGGGTTACGGTAACTATGGCCGGAGAAGTGATTACTACAATGGAATGTAGTCATTGCAACTATTTTACAGTTCTACTCACGATAGATTTGTCGTGGTTACTTTCGAACTTTGGTTAGTTTAACTGCATTTTGATTTGCAAAAATTACGCTTGTGAAGTTACTATAATGCTATGTGCCGCATAGAAAAAAATCGTATCGTTCACCAAAACTGCCTCAACTATTTTCTTATTGTAAATCGAACTTCTGATTTTTCTCTCAGTGTAATGATCATTTTACACGTGTTATTACCACTGTAAATTTTTGTATCATGATACAAAAAAAATGATTCAAATCATTTTTTTTATTTCGAATTTTTGATTCAATGAATCAAAATCACGATTTAAATTTTTGAATCATGATTTTAATGAGAGCAGTGATAGCATGAGCCATTTTACGAGACATCAGGAGACAATACTTTGGAGGGCTTGTCCCGGTCTCAGTGAACGCAGAAATTTTTGGTCTCGTTTTAGTCTTGAAATGCGCAGTATCGACTCCTCCCGTGATGACTCCGAGTCAATTTGTCTCCTCTCGGTTTCCAGTTTTTCACTTTTTTTTATATGTAGAATCCCGAGACGAGACAAACCGAGATTTTACGTTAAGAAATACGGAAAACTTTAGACCGAGATGAGATAGATTGACTCGGAGTCATCACGAGAGGAGTCGATACTGCGTATTTGGAGACTGAGACGAGAGCAAAGATTTTCATGTTCATTGAGACCGAGATCATCTCTCCAAAGTTTTGTCTCATAAAGTGTCGCGGTATCACTGAAGGAGAGACCGCAGTGGAATTTCAGTCTTCGTTGATGCAAGGGACATATTGAGCGACTTCTGATATACGATGGGACATATTAAAAAGTGGGAAAAATGATGACTACAATCAATTTTGTCGCATATATAAATGAAAACGGACAGTTTTCATTTTTACCTTTGAAATCGTTCAAGTGCCCAATTTATAGAGGACATGAAAATGTCTGGGGACGAGCACACGAACATTTACTACGCTATAATGCAGAAAATACTGTTATCGAGACTTTAAATAATTTTCAAAAAAGCAAAGAGATTCAAATGTTAGTTAATCAACGAGAAAATACAAGGACCCAGAACTTTTTATCCGTAGGGGGAGAAATTTTCCTGTGAAGTCATAGAATTTTTCATATGGTTTCCTTTAAAAATCCATGGGAGTATATGAGTAAATCTCACGCAGATTCAGAATTTTTCCGGTGCTCCCCAAAATATAACTCCGGTCGGAGTAAATTCAGCTCATTCCTGGTGCTCACCGCATTATTTTTTCTCGGATGTTTGTCTCCGTATGCACTCGTTTACTTTTGGGAGATGCAGTGAGGGTGAATATCGAAAGTATTTGTTTGATGTACGTCGTGCAAGAAACAAATACTTTTCGCCCGCTATACTGTCTCGAAAAGTGAACTTTGCAGGCGGGAATCTTAAATCGATTTGTAAAATAGCAAATTTTTGTATTTTAAACCCATACAATGACCATTCCATTGTCTCGGAAATCCCGATTTGTATTGCAGATCCATGAAAAAGATAGACAGGGTGTCTTCCAGCGCCTCTTGAGTCGCTATGTCGATACAGTGGTCCCGAACAGGCCTCCGCTCACCCGTCAATTGAGTACGAGGCCTTCACTGGACCTTCCTGACAAGCGATACGAGAAGGAGTACAGTTTTCGACCCCCTCCACTAACTATGATCATCATATCAATTATTGAAATTATTCTATATATTTATGATAAACGGTATGGTGGAGCTGGTGAGTTGTTCACTTATCAACCCCAGAAGAGATCCGAGGCATGGAGATATCTGACTTACATGTTTGTACACAATGGGTAAGTGCATTATTTACATCCTAAATTCTAAAATAGAAAGACATTATAAATTGCACGAATTGATGAAATTACCTGAGTGGTAAGTTTCGTAGCCGATTTCAGATGGTGAATTGTCAAATTTGAAAAAATGAAAAAAAGCGTTGAGTCCCTGTGGTTTTCGCTCGTATTTTACCATCATTCACAGAATAAAATTGATTATTATGTAATGAAAACAGTTTAAGGAGGGACCCCGGTGAAATTTGAAAGTCTTCGGTGGATCTGGGAACTTATTGAGCGACTTTAGTTATATGATGGGATATGTTAAAAAGTGGGAAAAATCCTGGACCCAATCGGTTTTGCCCCGTACTTCCACGGAAAACATAGTTTTTCGTGTTTCTACCTTTAAAAGGTTCCTCGTTCTCCAATTTTGATCCAATTTGATTTTTTGTCTTCAAAATGTTCGTGAGACTCCAAAGAACAAATGTAAGCTTCCGTTCTACAATCCATTATATAGATCATGAAGAGATCGAAGAAAAACCGAAAAAAATGAAAAAAAAAAATGAAAAAAGGGGGTTTTTCTTCTGATCGTTAACTATTCAAAATAAAGACTTTTCAGGCATAATGCAAAGCCAATCAGAAGGGAAAACGCTTTTTTTCGGTTTTTTCTTTTTTTTCGGTTTTTTTCGATTTTCTCATGATCTATATAATGGATCGTAAAACGGAAGCTTAACTTTGTTCTTTGGAGTTCCACGAACATTTAAAAAAAATAAAAATCAAATCGGATCAAAATTGGGGAACGAGGAACGTTTTAGATGTAGAAACATGAAAAACGACGTTTTCCGTGAGAGTACGGGGCAAAATCGATTGGGTCCGGGATTTTTCCCACTTTTTAACATATCCCATCATATAACTAAAGTCGCTCAATAAGTTCCTAGATCCCCCGCAGACTTTCAAATTTCCCCCCTTAAAAAGATTGACGATTCTTTTGAAAATATAATATCCCATTTTCAAACGACTCAACTTGATTTTTTTGCTTTCGAATGGAAGCTCTGTAATCGCTCAAATTTAAGTTTCCAAATTTTTTGTGTTAAGGCAACTGAATATGATCTAAAAAGTCCAAATATGCGATTTTTAGACAGGATCTATGTAGTCTTTTTTCATTTTTTTCGAAATTTTCTTATAAGGGATCAATTGAATTTTGCTTGATCAATGAATCGAAAGCTCGGTTCAATGAATCAAAAATCGATTTTTCAACGATCACTTGAAAAACACTCATGAAAATGGACCTAGTCGTGGCTTATAAAAAATTGATAACAATACTTTTTTAATTCTATTAGATTATGATGGGAGTCGCACAAGTTGTTTTGGAGTTACAGCACATTGTTTATATCCTGATTAAACCCGAACTGAAAACGAGTTCAAGCCTTGAGAGGGTCTGAATGTATAATTATTTGACAGAACGAAATAATACGCAAAATTTTGAAGACATTTCACTTGATGATTCGACATGATATCCTTTAATAAAAAATCCAGTGTAACGTTTTTTGAAGTCAACCTCTTGGGTGTATTGTATCATTAGATTTTTCATAAATGATGATAGTATACATTAAAGATATGACGATAATCCTTTATTATATTATATTCCATACTATTATATACTGTATTATAATACATTGTGTAATGCATTATATATATAATACATTATGCATATTATTATTATCAGTTTATTATTTCATTTTTTTATTATGCACATTATATTTTATAATGCATATAGTATTCTATTATAGATTGTATATTATACGTAGTATATATAATATAGTATAGAATTATCGTAATTTCTTCAATGTATGCTATCATCATTCATAAAAATTCTAATGACATCATAATACGCCGAATAGATTGGCTTTAAAAAAAGTTACACTGGATGCATTATATATTATACATAAAAAAATTGAATACATTCCTGAAACGTTTCCTTCGGAAACTTTGATATTAACTTTAGAAATTTAATATAAGATTATTCACTACAATTGACATTCAGGAAGCCCCATGGCGCCATGGCGTAGGACATACGCGCGCGGACTAATCTAGTTTCATGAAAAAATAGAAAAAGAGAATAGTGAAATAAGAATTTAAAAGAAGAGAAATTGCTAATTTATTAGTGACAGTAACTATACTCATTTATAAAAGAATACAACTATCCGATTGTTTTCAGAATAATTCATTTAGTGGGGAATTTACTAGTCCAGATATTGCTGGGAATACCCTTGGAGATGGTCCACAGATGGTGGCGTGTGCTAATCATCTACTTTGCTGGAGTGATAGCTGGCTCCCTTGGGACATCAGTAGCACTTCCAAATAGCTCCCTCAATGGTGCATCTGGTGGTGTTTACGCACTCATGACAGCCCACCTTGCAGCAATTATAATGAATTGGCAGCAGATGAAGTGGGCAGTATTACAATTACTTGGGTTCGGCGTTTTAGCGACTGTTCACATACTCCCGAATATTTATCATCGTTACGTACTCCGCGAAACTAAAGACGTTGGGTATGACGCACATTTAGCAGGTGCCCTTGCAGGATTGTTAGTTGGAATTAATGTTCTTCGTAATCTCAAGGTGAAAAAGTGGGAAACGGTGATTTGGTGGGTCAGCATCCTTACTTACACTACTCTCACGACTGCTGCTATACTCTGGAATATCTTTGGGATGAAATGAAAAAGTCATTTTCGTCACACGGTCCAAAAATATTTTCTGACGAATGTGATTATAGACAAAGCCGCATTCGTTAGAAGATACTTTGTGGACCTTGTGATGAAAATAACTATCTTATGAAAGTAAATGAGTCTCGAAATTGTGAAAGGAAACTATGGGAGCTTAATAAAATGCCGTTCTGTAGGGATTGAGGTGTTGACGGGAAGATAAAATTCTACTATCAGTATAATTAAGTCCAGACACGCGGTAACGTATTGCATGGCTAAGGAAACGGTTTGACTCCGACTGTACAAAACTGGCTGAATGCTGCCGTTTATCTATACACAAAACACTACCCCCTTCACGGAGAGAAATGTTCAGTAAAAATTACGGAACTCACAATTCGCTCACCGATTACGGAATCGACTCAAAAAATTTAATTGACGGGATCGTAATTTTTCACAGGAGATTCAGATAAAAATTACGGAACGAATATTTTTCTCCGTGTTCACTACCTCCCAATCATATCCATTAAATAAAATGCAAACGTGACAAGATGCGTGAAAAATACTCTTACTTACATTGTATAAATCGGCCGCAAGCTTCTCATTGATGTTTATTTTTTGTTTGAATCAACATTTGACCCTAGATTGGTCACCATACATGAGGGAAACCTCACTGCGCGTCGCGTTTCTTTTATTACAATTGACTGGCTATCCGGAAAAATTCAAGAAACTTTGACTCTGTCAATTGAAGTGTCTAAAGAATTATAGTACTCTAATAACCCAGAAAAACACAAATAAAATTTTAAAAAATAAAAAAATTATTAGAGTTATTATTGATAACTCTAATAATTTAGTACTTAATAGCCCAGGGGATAATATGGAATTCTATGAATATACCAGTCGAAATAATTTCATTCTTTCATTGGAATAAGAATTATAGTAGTTTTTAGAACAACATATTTCCCGAAATTCCTAAAGAAAACAGATTATTTCGAACAGATGATTTTGTTACCCATGTTAAATGAAATTGCCGATCACGCGACGTTGCCGGAAACTCGCTAAACGCGCCCGGGCAATCTTGAGTGAATTCGGCAACGCTAGAGCCTAAATAACACGGCGGGGAATCCCCGCGGAGGTGACCAGAGTCGCAGGGTCGCGTTTGGTCACCAGATTAGGATTAAAAAATTACGCGTTAGCAACGGATTCATATGCGCATTGTCGCATTTCACCTATCATTTTTTTGTTACGGAGTTGGTAGCAGTGCAATTCAATCGCACGCACCAAGGAGGAACCCGGGAATTTCCAAATTTAATTCGATGAATGAATGATAAAGTTCATAGATATTTTTCAACTGGATTCCGTAAATAAATCCGTAAATCCGTAATTCCGTAAATGAAACCAGTAGAGTGCGATTATTTTCTTGATTGACATGATCTTTTGGAGGAACGATGTATGAGGACATGCATTTATGCACTGACTATAATATTTTGCACGATGTATTTATGGCATGAAAGAAGATTGAAAGTGATGCTATCACTGTGAAAGAGTACAATTTTTATTACTGTATTAATTAGATGAAAGTTATGCACAGAAATGTGGGGAAGTTTTTCCTCTAATGCCACTTCCTTCTATTGTTATTATTATTTATATCGACAATACTTCGTACAAATATTTTACCGCCATCACATCCTCTAAAACGTGTATTTTTGTATAATACTTTTACTAAATAAATTATGGAATTATTTTATAACAAAGATATATTGTTTTAATGATCCAAAGTATAATAGAATCGTTTGCATCGAACTTGACTTTCTCCATTTTCCTGATTCCCTTGTTCAAGGTGTCTTCGTCTTAACAACTAAAAGTTAGGAGTGCTGACCAGTAAGAATAAAGTATTGTTGCGTATTTGTTCTTTTGCTTCCTCTCAACCATCCACATGTACGATCGTCTGTTTCTCTCTCGACATTCTTTTATCTATGTTTTTAGTCCGTGGACCCAGAAAGCTTCTGGAGCTGCACAGAGGGGATCTGAGGGTAGAAGTAGGGCTCCTTACGGATCATACAGCTCTCAGAGCTCATCTGTTCAAGATGAAACTTATAGAACAAGAAGACTGCAGACTGTGCGGAGGCGATAAGGAGGGTGTCATCCACATTTTATGTGAATGCCCCCTATTAGCACTCCGTCGCTATAAAATCTGGGGCCAGGCTTTCCTGGAACCAGAGGACTTATAACAAGCGGCTATCACCAGCCTTATTAGCCTAGTGAGAAACACAGGGCTGGGGCTGTATGACTGACCGAAACTAAGGCGGATGTTACAAAAGATCGTATGATTTAGGTGACTCTGGGCGCTTCAAGTGACCAGCCGCGCATATTCTATTCTATTCTATTCTAGTCCGTGGACGTATTTCTTTTTACATTTTTTCATTTATTCTTTTCGCAGCAATTTATTTCATAGTCTTTTCCTTCAATGAAAAGGCTCATAACTTTATCTCCTATTCGCTCTACGAGCGAATAGGAGTCGCTCGTAGAGCGAATAGGAGTCATTGAGTAATTGACTTCCAAATTTGATGACGTCTTCAGCGAATAAGTCGACTACATTTCCATGAATTTCAACATGAGCAGGAATGCAGATGAAGGCGACTTGTGTGACATAATTTCTGAGCAAAGGCCATCTTCATATGAAATCGTCGCTCTCGACCATGTTCTCAAGTTAATAAAATTCCTTCGATTAGGGATTGCTGTCAATTCATGAAGCTGAAACTAGCAGAATATTCGTCAGCGAAAAAATCAATTTAGGGGGTATTTAGGTGCAGGAGAGTCAAATAATCACATGTACAAATGTTTTTCAAGTGCGAAAGAGTTTGTACGTTACTTAAAAATATTTATACACCCCTAGATTCGCCTAAGACAAATCTTCTGCTGTCGAATATTTCGCTAGTTTCAGCTTCATTGCCAATTTTTGTTGTTGCAAACCTAAATATAGCCCGAAAGAATTTTATTAGCTATCTTTATACATAAAAAAAACTCCTAAATCACGTCGAGGGTGTTATTTGACATGAGTCAGAGTGAATCATGTCGGGAATAAACTAATTGCACAAAACAAAAAGTTGAAGCTTTTAAGTATCTATCTGTTATTTTTTCTCTCCCGTATAACCTTTTGGATTGTTACGTATCGCATTCGCTGAAGGACAAGGGAAAACCGTACTTGAGGAAAAAACCTGCTTAGCTACAGCCGTGTCTTACGAGACTCCTACGCAACTAGTGATGCCGCGAGAGAATTTACGAGACATCACGAGACAATACTTTGGAGGGATTATCTCGGTATCAGTGAACACGGAAATTTTTCGTCTCATCTCAGTCTTGAAATACGCAGTATCGACTTCTGTCGTACACTGATAGAAAAAATCTCTGACACGACAGAAGTGGTTTCTTGAGACAAGAGAATGGGGTTTTGACCATGAGTCTCTTGATACAAGAGATTCTTAGTTTTACTTAATTGAAGTATATTCTGAGAGGAAGATGTGTGCCCTCAGGACCGATTTACTTGATTGGAAACCCTATCACCTCTGTCGAAAATCATGAAAAACAGAATTATCTATAGCGAAAAGTACGAATTCTTCACACAAGAGAATAGAAACTTCATCAGATTAATATTAAATGTAAGCAAGATTACTTTCCGCCAAGAGATTCTTGCCAGCGAGTCTGATCTAATATGGAAAGCATTATGATGCACGCGAAACTTCCTGCTCTTTCCGTCCAATATTTAATACTTTATGCCAAGTTCCCCTATTTCTTTGATCCAAAGTCATGAAGAATTCATTCAGTTAAAACGACGCAAATGATGTAGTTTCTTGAGCCAAGAACTTGTACTCTACGTGTCAGAGATTTTTTCTATCAGGGTAATGACAGTACACAACCGATGTTTGATGTATTAGTGGCTTTGTTTACTCTTCAAAGTTACTATAATGTTATGTGCCGCATACAAAAAAAAATCGTATCGTTCACCAAAATGCCTCAACTATGTTCTTATTGTAAATCGAACTTCAGATTTTTCTCTCAGTGTACACTTTTACAGAACAGTAGGATAATTTTTATCAAAAATATCTCTCCGTGTAGAGGTTCAAACGAATGGCGCTAAAAGTTGGAACTGAGAAAACAACAACATTGGCCAATGCCCTTGCTCACAGTCGTATTAACTGTTAATTCAATTAACAGAAATTGAATAAAATGACAATTAACTTAATTGCTATTTTATTTAATTTTAAGGTATTTTGATTTGTTAGTAATGGGCGAATAGGAGGGACGGTTTAAGTTTCGTGAATGAACAATGGGGATTATAGTTGACCCTCATCTGTTGGACAGCTTCGGCTCCTTTCAAATTATTGCTAGCTCTAATTCGTTGTTTTATCATTGTTTTCTTTTCAAGTTTTTGAAATTACGGAAATATTTTTCGTGGGTCGGAGTTTCTTCGTTCGATTGTTGTCGCCTAAATAAGGCGATATTGACAAGTTAATATCCAGTGACAATTGCCAGAGGTATTTTTGTAAATACGAAAAGGTTTAGCTTAGTTTTCAGGAGTTTCAATTCCAACAGGATGATCAATGGACAAAATCGAGAGGAGCCTACGGGCATTGCTGTTTACGATGATGACTGGGTAAGTGTTTCAATTTTTTTTCCTTCCGAACGGAAGTTTTTTAATTAATGGATTTTGTCATTCGCTAATTTCAGTTAGAAACAACGGACAAAAATTTATCATCGAAAATTCACTACGCTTATGCAGAAAATGCTGTTGTCGAAATTATTAACGAAAATCAACAGTTAATCAGTTGTTGATGAAATATTTTATTGTTATTTGGAACGACTTATAATGTCATAAAAGTTCTAGATATGGTGTTTTTACAAACTGTTTGTGCAAAATTGGATGAAAATAAAAACAGACTAGAATGAGCTGAAAATCTGAAATTTTGGCTTATAAATGGTATGGTTTAGGGGCACTTGTCAGTCAAATTTAGGCTCAATCACTGCCTTTTTGAGATTCCGTGATTCCCCAAAATGTGTATGTACTTAATACCCCGAAAGGGACTGCAGCAAATCAAATTTGTTTTGATAAATACTTTATAAGCTCCAACAGAATTTTCTATAGATGAAGAAATCTCTCTCCCAAATGAATAATCATGATTTTTAAATAAATCTGGTTTTTTGATGCAAAAAAATTATTTTTGTGAGGGTCTTGCATACATTTTTGCATACTTTTGAAATTTTTTTCATACAGATTTTGTCCAAAAATATGCCGTAGACGCGACTCGCTTCGCCTACTCGCTCGTCGATATTCGGTTATGTTCACAATTCGCACGCCCGTGTATTTATTGCATTCCTGATGACATTTCGCAACGTTTATATGTGAATGCATGCGGATTGATACCACCTACCCCCATGTCCCCGGCACCAAAAACATTGAAGAAAAACTTTGTTCTGTTCAAAAAAATTGCGTCATTGCAAAATCGTTCTCTCTAGGATAATTATCGAATGTCTTTTATTTTTTAATTTGTTCGCAAAGAGAAAAATTCAAGAAAAATGACCAGAAAAAAAACGCAAAAATTTCGTTTCGAAACGTAATCCGCGAGCGAAGTAAAATTCAATAAAAAGTGTGAGTTGGAACTGAAATTGTACGAATCACCACGTCAATTCTACGATTTGTTCCGTAAAAATTAACCACCCGTCTGATGACTCACCGCTGTAGGGACAACAAGTCGTTCCGTAATTTTTCCCCAACGATTGAGAAATTTTACGGAACGGAACGTTGAAATAACTCACCAGCTTCATAAAATTGTTGAACGTTCAAGATTTTTTTATTTTGGAGGCACAATAAGTCAGCAAGTTTCTGTAAGATTTAACTTCTTCGGAAAAAATTACTTGACAATTTCATATTTTGTTCGGTGATGAACCTGAAAATTCACTGAACGTTTCAGATTTCTTCTCTTCCATTCCTATAAAAATTGCCGGAAAACGATTCCTCATTGCGGATTACGTGAATTGTTCCGTAATTTTTACTGAATATTCCTCTCCGTGTAGTGGAAATTTCGACAACAGTATTTTCTGTATTAGTGTAGTGAATTTTCGATGCCGTTTTGCAAAGAACAAAAATTCTAATATTTCTCTCTCCATATGACAGCCCGTTTGCGCAACCATACATTTTCTAGAAAAATTAGTCATTTGTTGTCTTTTCTCTCAGTATCGCGATCATAATTGTTCAGATTATATCCCTCCCTATTCTACCGTGAAATTAAATTCAGCTTTATGGTAATGCGTCAAATTACGGAAAGTACGTCATGATTTGTGATCCCATCTATCTTTGAGATTAATCAGTTTGAATTAAACATCGATTTGATATTGATTTATTTTTTATTTTTCATTTTCATTGAAGATAATGATTTATTGATGGTCATTGTACGATCATTGATGATAATTTTACGACCTTGTAAGCTAAATGGCCCGGCACTTGTCTAGCTGAGGTGAACACGTACACTTAGATGGCAATTAAGAGAATGGCCTCTCTTCTCTACTGGGCCCATTTCTCTTTTTTAGATATTTGTATTTTAAACCCAGTGGTCATTGCACGGAGAAAAAAGTTGGAGAAAAAGTATCAAACAAATCAAGTAATTGTGGAGTCGAATCCACTTCTAGACCCTTTTCACACTATATCGGGGCAAAAAGTGCGAGACGAATAGTGAATTTGTCTTCGCTGTCTCGGGAAAAGTTAGTGAACGTGATTTATCATTTATTTAATCAAAAATTATCCCATGAAAGTGGATAATTGCTCAATATTGGGTAATTATTCACATATATGTAGGAATTTTTCCGTGGCGGCGAATGATTTTTTTTTACCAAACGCGGTATGGTAAAGTTTCACATTGTCCGTTCCTATGTCGTTCATATCGAAGCCAGAAAAAAAAACCCTATCAGTGCGGGAAATTTTACTGTACAGAGAACAGTAATTTTTGCATCCACAGATGTGTTTCATTTACCGAATAAATCGTAAGATATCCTCCGCATAAAATATTTGTTATTGAATTCTAATTTCGCTCTAAAATCAGGAATCGGCAAAAAGCACTGCTTTAGTAATATTAAAAGAATTAATTAAATTAATTAAAGAATTAATCAAAGTTCGCTAATTTTTATTAAAATTTGAAAATAATTTTTAAGTCAAAATTTAGTTAAAGTAAAATTTTCAAAATTTAGTTAAGTTAAATTTTTATTATTATTTGCTTATTTATTTAGAGTGATGTAACTCATGTAGTGAGTTATTTACACTATCATTCGCATTTTATATGCTATATTACATGCTCTTGTTTATCTTAATTGTTTTATATCTGAAGTTGATAATCTTTCAGGTATTTACATATTTCCTTAATATATGTATGGTCAGTTGCATCTGCCAATTATTGTAGTAAAGGGCATAGACGAATTAGATTTTTTCAATCCGTCTAATAGTTTAGATCTCTGGTGAGCATATTTTGGACAATGCCACAGGACATGTTCAAAGTTTTGCCTTTCTTCTCCATAAGAACAACTTGGGTCATTAATTATTCCGACTCGTTTCAAGGATGCTGCAAGATGGCAATGGTTGGCTCTTACTCGGTTTACAGTGATTAGTCTCCCTCGGGAACTTGTAGTTTTTGTACCAGGTCCCAACAGAGTCCTTGAAGAAGAGTCCTAAACATTCTGTACTCTTTTTTCTTTTTTACATTCGTTAAAAAAAAAGTACAGAATATTTAATTCTAATTCTACATTCGTTGCCTGTTCTACGATTTTGCGTGTCGTAGATCTGTATTCTTCTTGTTTTTTTTATCGTTATACATCGTTTACATCGTTTCGACCCGGTTAAGGTATGCTGCGATGATGATCAAGACTTTGAATGGTTAGATCACACCATTTTACCCGGCCGGGATTTGAACTCGGAACCTTTCGCATGTGAGGCAATGAACTTACCCACTGCCCCAAGCCACCGGGCACCTGTATTCTTCTGATTTAATGTGTATTCGGAAGTCCGTGTATGGAACTTATATTATTATTTATTATTCATACCTGCCCTACAGGGACTAGCCCCATAGCAGGGGGACACATGGGTAAATTGTAAACTAGAAAAACAATAGTGGCGATACGTTCAAAGCTCAGTCGCAAAATCACAATTGTCCTTAAGTAATAGAAAGAGTTGAGCAGAGTATACAAATGAAGTTGTTGACGAATTATTTAATTCGCGCTCGGTCAAACTTGAAATTAGTTGTAAATATCTGAATTTGATTTTTCGATTAATAGAATAATCGTCATTCTCGCGAAGTTGATTACTGATTCATAAAATATTTGAAAAATTTAGTTGATGATTAATTAAAAACAAATTAAAAAATTGTACAATACAGTTAACTGATTTTGTATGAAATGCAATAATTTTAATTCTGCATGATGATTTTACCTCTGTCCACAATATTGACCTTTCGTGTAGTAAAATTTGCCGATTTTCTAGATAATTTTTATCCAACTTTTCTCTAAGTCTGTATTATCCCTGAACTGCTGATATAATTACAGATTGATAGGGGAGACATGCAGGGTGTCTTTGGGCACTACATAAATCGCTATGTCCACACAATGGTGCCGAGCAGGCCCATCCTCTCCTCTCAATTGAGTGTGACGTCTTTAGGGGACCTTCCCAATGAGCAATATAAGGAGGAGTACAGTTGTAGACCGCCTGCAGTAGCAATGATCATCATGTCAATTATCGAAATTATTCTGTATGTTTACGACAGAGAACTGGGTGGAGCTGCTAATTTCTTAATTTATAATCCCACAAGAAGATACGAGGCATGGAGATATGTGACTTACATGTTTGTACATAAAGGGTAAGTTCGTTGCTTCCATTGAAGATCACTAAATAAAATTTGTGCAATGCAACAAGTTGATTAGATTATTCACAACATGAATTTGGGTAGCAATTTCGCGAGAAATACCGCGACGAACGAAAAATTGCAATTGCTTTTTGGAATTTCGTCTCCCATTATTGAATCCTCCGTCCGGTGTACCGTCTTTTCCGCATGCGTAGAACCATCCGATGGGTCTTTTGGCTTCGCGGAATATAAAACCAGTTTATAATTCGCAAAAATTGAATTTAAAAAATCACCCATCTTTATAGATATGTTGTTTTAAAAAACAATTGATATGATTGAGGAATGGTATATTTCTAATCTAGGCAAGTAAAATAAAGGAGACGTGCCCACGTCCGGAATGTCCACGCGAGCCGACGGCGAGGGTGGTAAGCACGTGGGTAAGGGTCCTTTTTTTATTTCCCACGGTTAGACCGATATTTTTCGCCCCGGCGTTTTCGCACAAATCGTACGAGGCATTCTCAAATGACGGCGATTTTCGCGAAGAATCGCGAAGTTTACACTTCGCGTTAAATCGCGGTATCAACATCTTTGTGTAGAGTACTAGTTAAGTTGAAATTGAAGTTTAGACTTGTCTCAACAAGGGGGACAGTGGAAAACACAAATCGTACAAGGCATTCTTAAATAATGGAGATTTTCGCGAAATTTACACTTCGCGTTAAATCGCGATGTTAACATCGTGTTGTATAAAGTCCTAGTTGAGTTAAAATTGAATTAGCTGTGTAGGAGTCGAAGCTGGAAAAACTAATTCGTAATTGTTATTGTACACCTTTTAGCCAAAATTTAGAAAAAAAACCACTGTAGCTCAAAAATTGGAGGTTCTGGATTATTTTTAACATTTTAAACCTCTGCGGGGCAAACGAACTATAAATAATTAATTTTTTTGCACTAATTATGCGTTTTTAGATATATATTATATAATCGATCTTCAATGCATGAGAAATATCACTCCAATAGCCCGCGACTTTTAAAACTCATAGTAGTCTCCGCTTCAATAGAAGTTCAGTAGAAATCCAATAGAATTTTCTATCGAATTCGCTAAGTTTTCATACGAAATTTTTTTGTGCATGAAGCCTTTAGTTAGTCAAGGACACGACCGTAGGTAAAATCATAGGTAAAAGTCCGGGTTAATTCCTCAACTTCATTCATTTCAGAATAATACACCTAGGTGGGAATTTATCGATCCAAATAATGCTGGGAATCCCCTTGGAGATGGTGCACAAATGGTGGCGTGTGCTAATCATCTACTTCGCTGGAGTAATAGCGGGCTCCCTTGGGACATCCGTCGCACTTCCGAAGTTCTATCTCGCAGGTGCATCTGGCGGTGTTTTCGCACTCATGACAGCGCACATTGCAACAATCATAATGAACTGGAAACAAGTAAAATTTGCTGCGCTTGAATTTTTTGTCTTCGGTTTTATAACGATTCTTTACGTGATTTCGAATTTTCGCAATCGTTACGTACTCCACAAACACGATGATATTGCGTATGATGCACACATGGCTGGTGCTGCTGCTGGATTATTAGTTGGAATTAATGTTCTTTGTAATCTCACGGTAAAAAAGTGGGAGAAAGTGCTTTGGTGGGTTAGCAGCCTCTCTTATACGGTTCTCATGTCTGCTGCTATACTCTGGAATATCTTTGGGATGAAAGAGTGAAATTATCGAAAGAATAGTATATTACGCAACAAGTGCGTAATGGGTTTTCTGGCTCGTGGGAAGTTGTAAAACGAGCCGAAGGCGAGTTTTACAATCCCACAAGTCAAAAAACACCATTACGCACGAGTTTCGTATACTATTTTATGTCATAGGGCCCAGAATTCGCGATTCTACCGAGCGAAGCGAGGTTAGAATCGCGTGATTCTGGGCACCTATGGCATAAAAAAGTATATTGTGTTACTCGTACGTAAAGTTCCACTTTTGCGCATGCACGTGTAACACATCCTATTTTTTGTGATACCTGTTCAGTGTTCGGAACGGTAGTGGGGGTAATGTGCGTGATTGTTATGTGCACGAGTGCGTAAAGTTCAAGAAAACAATCGCGTTATGCACACTTAACTGTATCGAAACGTGCACTTTCCATCACGTATCACAAATAGTATTTTGCGTTACTAGTGCGTAAAGTTTTCTAGCACTTTTTGAACGCACGCGTAACGCATCCTATTTTTCATCACTGTCCGTCGAACGCCGTTTACGGACATTGTAAAGAAAAATTATATTCGTACTCGCTTGAAAACAGCGATTCTGACTAGTGTGGTTGCATTCCTCGGCTTCACCTCGGTCTGCTACCCTAGGAACTAGTCAGAAAAGTTTTTTCGGCCTTATGACGAAAATGGCTAGTTTCTAACGCCTACCGAGTTCACTTTCCGAGGGTACAGTATGAGTAAAGTATTTTTTCTTTGCACGAAGTACGTAAAGTTTCATCACTAATGCGTGAAGTGAAATTTTACGTATGCTCCACGTGCATAAAATACCACTTTTCACACATTGTGATGAAAAATTGTTCGAAAAGTGTTCTTTGATTCGTGGCAAGCAGCATTCACACCTCCTACCCACCTCAACACCACTACTGCACACATCCCATGGAGCAAAAAACACTTACGCACTCGTATCTAAATATAACAGAGCAGTACGTTAACTTTTCCCACGAGTGTCGATCCCTATTTTTCATTACAGCGTGTGGAATTTCACATTACGCACAAGTGATCAAAAAACCTTTTTCGTAGTTATGGAAGTTTCTCATAAACAATGTTAGATTCTGCCCAATACCCTCTAAATAATTTTGGTCGAAATAGTTTTAATAGTTTTTTTGATAGATTTAAATAGTTTTTTTGGCCGAGTAACGAAGTTGATTTTTTCACACCATCTGCAAACTGTATTTCACGGACATGAAGTAGTATATTATCAGAAATAGTATATTTCGTCATTAGGCCGAAAAAAACTTTTCTGGCGAATATGAGGTTTGCAGCACGAGCCAAAGGCGAGGGCTGTAATCATATTCGTCAGAAAAGTTTTTTTGGCCGTATGACGAACAATATTTTTTGTCATGACGGCCGTAGGCAGAGATTCACGGACGCGGAGTGTCCGTGAAACGCTGCCTTGCGGCCGGAATGACAAAAAATACTATATTAATGATCTCTTACCAGTTCTCTAGTAAATAATGGCCCTTCCCGTATCACTTTCCTGTATTTGGCTAGAGTTAATTCGTGCTTGTCTCATTATTTAATTGTCGATAACGGCAAACAAACCGTCGGTTCAATGAACCGACTGCTATATAAGTTACTAGCATTCGGATAATGGGTTTTCCGATAAGGAAAGTTATTGTAATTATCCCGAAAATTTATTCTCAATTTTTTATCAAATGTTCACGTTTCAAGGTCTTCATATTAATTTCTATCCATTTTAAGAGTGATGTTTGTGTACATTCTGAAAAAACATCGAATTAATATATGACGCCATCGATGGGTTTTAACGTAACTTGGAGCTAATTGGATTCTGGTAGATATCGATTGAGCGATTTTTCAGTTTTATAAGATGAAGGAGTGGAGAATTTGCATAGAATTTTTTTTTAAACATGTGTTGTCTATAAATAAATAACTGAAATCGTTTAAACTTTCGGAAGCCTAATTTTTTAAAATATGAAATCGATTTCTAGTAAAATTTTGAATATGAATGAGGAAATGATTTTCATGCTGGAAAATTGATTGTTTATAAATCATTTACAGGAAATGCTTGCAATTTTAAAAAATTGCAATTTTTTAATCATTTCATCAATCTTCCTCCAAAAGTAAACGTTGCAATTGTTTTTTCACATTTAAAAAATGTCTGACGGTTCAATATTGAAATTCAAATTCAGGCCTGCAAAATTTAAACAATAAAATCATTGTAAAATGTCCGGAAACTTAGGGTCAAATGGGGCTCAAATAAAAGCTCTGATATTCGCCTACAAAAGTAGAAAAGCATTTCACTGGAGAAAAAATAGCCAAATGTATGATATTGTGACGTCGTATGACATATGTGAACGTTCAATAAGAGGTAACGTATACCACTTCCATGTGTTGAACTTTAGAATCGTTTTCGTGTCCAAAGTTATAAATTTTTGGAACTAAAAAAAACTTCAATCACTCCATTACTACATTATGCAGTGCCGGAAGTTTTTTGATTTCTAAAAATCAATAACTATGGACACGAGGACGATTCCAAAATTCAACACATCCAAGAGGTACCGTTGCCTCATAAGACGAATCGTTATTTGAGAATAATGACGATGAGAAGGAATAATAGTGTCAATTATTTTTATAATGAATATAATCTTTTGTATCGATGAAGGAGACGTAGAAAATTTTTTTTTCTTTTACTAGAAAATTTTACAAAATGTATTTCTGGTTTGGAAGAAAATGGAGAGTGATGTTTTGACAGCAGGAGAATACACTTTCTATTACTACATTAATTCGAGGGAAATTATGCACCGAGTTGATTTTTTTTCGTGTAATATCACGTGGTTTTTATTATCATTGTTATGGAAAATACATTTAAAAAATTCGCTGCCGTCGTATTTCCAGCGCCCTGTGTCAATTCATTTTGTAATAATGTTTTTACTACATAAGTTAGGGATTAATTTTATAACGTCATTGTTTTTCATGACACAAAGTTGAATAAAATGGTTTTTATCAAATTTGCATCTCTTGACTTTTTCAGTTTGTTTTGTTACAATTAGTATCTAAGCCCCAATTTCCAATTATATTTTTCAAACATAGTAAATAAGAATATTATCCAGTTTCAAAGAGAAAATAACACTCAAGTGTTCCGACCACATTTTTTCCTCAGAAAATCATAAAACTAACTTTCCCACATTCGAAACGAAACCGAAAACCAGACGCTTGCACGCGTGCATAATAAATTATCCAAAAACATGAAAAGGAACTCACTAAATCTGTAAGATAAGTACTAGCATCGTGAAATTGTAAACCGAACACGACGAAATCAACACGGAGAGAAATGTGCAGTAAAAATTACGGAACTCACAATTCACTCACCGATTACGAAATCGACTCAGACAATTTAAGTGACAGTATCGTAATTTTTCACAGGAGATTCGGATAAGTATTACGGAACGCTCCGGAAAAATTCCGTGACAGTTCCGTAAAATTTCCTACAACCACATTTCGCTCCGGAATTACGGAAAATATTTCTCGCCGTGAAGAAACACAAACGTCATGAGTGTCAAATGACGTTTTCCAAATTCTAATGTTCCGTGAGAACAGAATTGTTCTCAAAAGTCAAAATGCAGCTGCACCCTTAATTGCTCTTAATCCAATCATGACTTTCGAGGCTCCGCGAGTGACCTAAAACCAAACGGTTCGCCTCACCTCACCACCATCCCTAATCAACCAATCCTACCCTAGTTAGAAGTTGGAGCGTGTACGTCCACGCGTCAACTCTAAGCTGCCCTGAGATGTTCAAATCTCATCTTAGTAAAATCACTTCTATTTCCACGATCAAAGAAAAAGGACCAACTTCTCTAAAAATATTAAAGTGAAACTCCAAGTTCAAGTAAAGTCTCAGTGAATACTTCAACAACAAATACCCAAATTCTAAATTCAAACTGTTCGGGACTTGATCACAAATACCAATTTAAACCAATAGAAGTCAAATAATAAAACAAGACCAAACTAAAAATAGGAACACTTAAACCTTGATAGAAGCCAATCCACAAGTGTCACTTAAAACCTTGAAACTGTAATAGTGAACAGTGTAATAAAACCAAGTGTTATTGTTATTGAATAATTTTATTAAACGAAACACTCTAAATCATGTCTTGATTGGTCAACTGCGCGTAGTAGTTGATTAGTGGAACCTACCTAATGAGATAGTTTCCCTCAACACCTGGTAACACCTGGAGTTACCGATCAAAGGCTCAATTCAACTATTTCCCAAATTAATCCAACAGACAATTGAGTGTAACCCATTTGGGACGTAACAGTTTCATTAAAATATCATCATTTCAAAAATTTAAAGCGAGGAATGTTGAATATTATGAATAGACTTTATGAAATTTATGAGCAGTAAACAATTGCGTAGGCAAATATCGTTTACAAAATCAGAAGTACTTTCAGCTCTTAAGTACGAATTATCAACGTAAATGCGAATTTATCCATCACAATCCATAACGTTTTATCGTCGTATTCATTCACATTGAAATTTATCCCCCTCATTTATGTGTAAAACTCCAGTATATACAATATTAAATACTATTTCTCCCACGTTATCCCTAACAATTCATGACTCAAACGTGTAAGAAAAATATATCCATAAAATTCACATGACGTTTGTAAAAAATCCCTGACAATCCTTCCGCCAAGAATCGGATTAACCAGTTAAAAAATGTACCGTTTAATTTATTTACAAACCTCATTCCATCAACAATGAAAGGCTCAAACGAGAATATCTAATCGCAATTCGGATCAGTTTTCGGAAAATATCTAGTCCAAGGAGATAGCATTTCCATAGAGACAAAATTTTTTCGTTGATTCACGGGGCAAACTGATTGTGGTCAATATTTTCCCGCTTTTTAAAATGTGCCATCACATCAAAATTCACTCAATAATTGACTCTAGCTGTAACGGCGATTTTCAAATTTCACCGCAGTCTCCCTTTAAAGTAGCTCTACCCTTACGGTAAATTCAAAGATTATTGAAAACTGCAAAAAAATTGCTGAAAACTCGATTAGATTCGGAATTTTAATTTTTCTCTTAACTTAATTATCGTTTTGGTTTTCAAAAAAGAAATGTTCAAAAATCCGGATTTAACGCAGTGTATTCTGTGAAAATCAACATTTCCATTGTAATTAAAGATTAAAATCTGAATTTTTTTTCATTATAGATGTGAAAAAATCAAGAATTTTTTTGACACCTCATAAAAAATAATCCACCGTTTTGCAAACAAGTTTTATTATTTATTTATAAGAGGGAAATGTTTCAATAAATATCAATATATTGTGAAATTTAATTTAGATAATACTGACTAGATATGAATTTTTTCAAATTTTTTCCATGCAATTTAGTTGAAAAATTTAAAACCTGAAAATATCCAAGTACAGTGTAGCCCGGCCGAAGGATAGAGCTACTTTAAGTCGAATTACCCTCCTCTATCAATCGTCCGAAAAAATCTCAAGTTCAAAACAATACAGCATGCATTTCATGAGGTCCTCCTTAATTTCTCTGAAATTCCTCTACAAGAAAACCTTCAAAAAAATCTGTTATGACTTTTACATTTAAAGACATCAAATTATATTTTATTCAATAAAAATAATCGATCCTAAAATTGACCTGATCCACCACTAATGATTCAATTTAAATTCAAAATCAGCTTTTCGAGAATATCTCGAAATTAAAAGGTGAAATTTGCTTCACAAAAACCTTTTTCCTAGCTGTCAATTCTCTCTACGGAAACTTCCATCAAGAAAATGTCGGTATCTCCCCTACTCAGAAGATATTCACAAAACAATAAAAAAAAATTGATTCGAATTATCCTCTTCTACCAATTTTCCGAGAACACCTCAACATCGAAAAAGACAGAATTTCTCTCAAATCCTTCTGCAAGGAAATCTTTCCAAAAAATCTGTCACTCTTAGATTCAGGGTCCTTCACCAAAACTGAACAGTCCTAAAATTGAGCTGATTCACCACTCCTGTTCCCCACTGAGATATGTATGAAAAACGGACGGATAACAGTCAATCCTCTCACTCCACTTAATCCTGTATAATAGGAACTTTCTCCAGCCACTCGGTATCCGGCCTAACGAACTCCAGATCGCTTCCCTCCTCCTCCGACTCGTCATCCTCATCGAAATACGGTCTAGTATTATCCAACTCCTTCGCCACCACCAGCTCCCCACCGCCGGGTCTCTTGAAGACCTCGACTTCCTTCTCGTCATCATCAAAGAAGCTGTTCCCATCCTTCAACAGGCTGAAGGCATAAGCCCGCCTTTTGTTCGTCTCGTCCTGCCCAGCTGCCTTGCACCTCATAAAGCAGCAGATGCCCATCGCAACGATCCCCACGGAGACGATCCCCGAAATGATGACGAACACAAGCCTAGGCAGCCCGAAGACGCTCTCATCTCTCTTAAGCATGAACACGAGATTGGAGAACCTTTTGATGTCCGGAGTGGTGAGGATTTTCGTATCTGGAATGTACCCATCAGCCTCAGCCTTGATCGCATGACTCCCAGCTGGCAATAGCACCCAGAAGGCCCCAGTCTCGATGTTCCTGACCCTGTGCACCGAATTGTCGTAAGACAGACGAGCCCCAATGGCCTCGCCCCCCTCGTTCAACACATATCCAGTGACTCCCTTGTCCACAGCCCCCATCACCGCCAGAAGACTGTTCTTATTATACTCCCAAACATCCACCGGATGATCGCTATTGCAGCAGGTGACGTAAACATCTAGCATTAGAGTACTAGTGTTCAAATAAGCGTAATCAATGAGAGAATCTCTCCTACCACCTGGGAGAGCCTCTCCGCTGTGCGAGACCCCACTCTTCCCAATCCTCACATCATCCTGGCACTTCTGATTGGCCAGGAGCATTGACGGATGATTGCGGGTGTACGTCGACGCCAGATAATTAAACGTGTCGTCATCATTGGTGCTGAAATCCCCAGAGTTATTGCCATTGAAACCATAGGGAATCTCCACGTGTCTCGATCCACTGTTTAAGTTAATCCCAACCACTGCTTTCGTCTCCTTCAACCAGTCCGCTATCATCTCGGCGTCTGCACTCATAGGCCCGTGAACCGGAAATTTGAGACCCGATGAGGAAGCCGAACACGTCAGGTTTTCCCCGGTGTCCGGGAATAAATTCGGAGCAACGAGGATGTTGTAGTTTTCTAGAAAATCAGTCACACTTTTCTCTCTCTGGTAATTACTAACGAGGTGATTCGCGAAGTGGATAAGTACTTGTGAGGTCACAGGAGCCCCTTGGCCAACCCCAGCTGAGAAGACAACAGTGGGACGACTGGTGACTTGGTGCTTAGCATTCCTAGCTGCCAGTTCAATCGAAAGTACTTTAGTGCCCTTGGTGGTGGTCCCAACTGTCTTCAATTCCGTTATCTTCGGGTATTTTTTATTTAATTCATCTAGGGAACGATTCACCTCGTTCTCTTCATGGAAATTGTCCAGAGGTTCTTTGGAAATAGGTTCGACGGATCCGGTGGATCGCAAATCCTCGAGCTTAACTGTGACGTCTGTCATCTCCTGGCTCTTGATCTCGACGTTCACAGTCTTGGTGGTGTAATTATCACAGGAGAACATCAGAGAGTACTTCCCAGGGTTCAGAACCCTGATGAAGTACGCCATGTTCTTGGTGACCGGATAAACCTCAGTTCCAATCTGAACTTTAGCGTTTCGAAGTGGCTCGTCCCGACTATTTCGAACCTCAGCTCGAACTCCAGTGGTCAGCCCAAAGAGTAACTCCTTAAGTGGTGCTAGATTGTCCCTCCAGATTAACGGAAGTGACTCGGGAGCAGCGTATTTGCAGCAGGAGAGGGACAGAGCCACCACTGGGATCTTGTAATTCTTCATTATGTAGTCGCCAACAGCACTGGAGTTGTCGTCAGCATCGCAGCTCTGTTTGTGCATGGCAGCATCGTAACTCTCTGCTAGCGTCTTGTAGACGTTGAGGTAATCCTCGGTATAGCTGACACCAATGCTGCCCCCAATGACGGTAACAACGATATCGTATCCCTGTGATGCCAGCAATCGCCTGAAGGCTTTGGTGACAGGATCCTTATCCCCTCCAGCCAGCAACTGCTTTCCAATTTCGTCAGGGACTTGAGGATTGCAGCTATCGTCGACCTTATCAAATTTTTCGTCCAACCCTGGGATAATGTGGAAGACAGCGTTGTCTAGAAGTCTCACTATGGGGGGATCCCCGATGGCGTCTCCCTTCACCAAGTGATTCGCCAGACGGAGGTACATCTCCCTTCCAACAGGCTGCGATGCAAACAGACCACCCACCAGAGCTATGTGGATTTTGTTCTCCTCTGGGGCCCCCAGATTCCTCGTTATCTTCAAGGAGTGCACTGCCATGCTGTCCAGCGAATCTCCAGCTTCGAACTCGACAATACTGTCCGGCCTCTGGGACTCCAGGGAACCCATCGCAATGTTCAAGGCCCCATTACTCAAGTACCCTTTTCTCAAGTTCTTCAGGATTGCGAAATCGTAAGCTGAGGACCAGTGCTGGTCGTCGTCCTTCATCAGGGTGATGTCTAGGACTACTTCTCCCTTTCTGGATTCCCTTTCAGCCTTGATGGTGACTTCTTGGGTGTAGGATTCGTAACCGTAGGCACTAGCGGTGATATTGTAACGCCCTGGCGTCAGCATCCTCCAGTAGTCTCCATCCTCGGCGGTGTAGATCACATGATCAATACCGCTTACCTCAATCTTGGCTTTTGCGATGGGACCACCAATGGAGGAACGAACTACCCCGTGAACTCCCTTCCTGGACATCTCTATGAACGTCATCAAAGGTTCTCGGTTCTCCTCCCAGTACCGGGGAAGGTCCTCGGGTCGGGGGAACTTGGCGCAGCCTAACTCTAGGGTAAGTTCGAAGGCGTTACTGTGGACGTAGTTGTAGTCTTGCATTCCACCGGTTACTGGGTACCACGCGGCACCGTTGGTGATGCCGTCGGGGAAGGCGTCGTCCAAGACGCTGGATCTTCCGGGAGGGGATGGACAGGGTTTACCCAGGTGCATCCTTGGGTGGGCCATAGAGTAGGACAGGGCGAGAGCCTTGAAGACAGCGTCGTCTGGTGATAAGTTTTGCCCAGGTTCGTCTTGTAGTGGACCGTCGTCCCATGGGTAGTTGGCGACAAGCGCTCCGCCGTGCAGATTAGCCGACAGGACGAACGGAATTTCAGAGATCCATTTCATAACCGCTTTGGTCTCCGGCTCCGGGTGCTTATTCAGCTGAAAATATACGCCCGTGAATGTATTGGTTCATTATGGGGACTTACCCTGGAACAGAATCCACACGGAGACGCATCCGTATAGCCAATTGGATCGTAAGATTTTCCCGCCAATTTTATTTGCTCAAGTCTGATTGGTCTACGCGGATGGGTCTCCCCATGGATTCTGTTCCATGGGCATTCACTCTAAGGGATAATAATGGATTCTGTTCCATGGGCATTCACCCTAAGGGTGACTGACTACCCATGGACCAGAATCCACACGGAGACGCATCCGTACAACGAAGTAGATCGCCAGATTTTCCCGCCACTTTTATATGCGTCTCCGTACGGATTCTGTTCCATGGGCGGTTATTCGTATTATGAAGAGAAGAAGCTGTCGGTTCCTCGAAGGACACCTAGCAGATTCGAGAGAACAGGCTGTTGGACTCCCATTGAACTCCTTTTGAAAATTCTATCAGTTGTATTGCTTGACCGATTCTATTGATGAATTCCGCAACTTTACTGTACGTTTTTTTTTATAGAAAGTGTCCAATAGAAACTATTTTATATAAAAAATGAATGGAATTTTATCTTTCTATACAACTTCTGTTGAGACATTTTCTGTAGGAATTCCCCGACATGAATTTTCGAAGTTTTTCTCAATCTTTTTTATTCGTTATTCATTGAAGAAAAAAAGTAAAAAACGTAGAAAATCTGAGCCGAGGAAATTCTATAGAAAATATCTCAATTGAATAAGTTGTATAGAAAAATCTAATTCTATTGACATTTTCCGTCGAATATTTATACTGTTGCGTATTTGTTCTTTTCTTCCCTCTCAACCACCTTCCTGTACGCTCATCTCCTTCTTTCTCGTTATTCTTTCATCTTCGTTGTTAGTCCGGGGACGTGTCATTTCTTTTGTATCTTTTTATCATTCATTTCGCCCCAAATTCTTTTAATAAAGTCATTTATTATTAAACGGGTCCATACTTTACAATATTAAAAAGAAGCTCGCAAGATAAAGTGCGAAATTTTTCAATAGAATCGGCCAAAAACCAATCGAAAGTTCAATAAAAATCCGATTGAATTTTCTAGCGAATGCGTTAAACTTGTCTGTAAAATTTCTTCACTCGTGAAAAACTCGTGGTTCTAGCAGTCATGATACTGAGATCGAGAAACTAGTTACTTAGTTTCAGTAGAAATTCAGTACCAAAAACGTACTTGGAGAAAAGTCTTCAAACCTAGAACCGTTGAACTCAAATTAGGAACTCTGGGGTTCTTAAAATAAGAACCGTTGCTCATTGAAATCGCGAACCCCGAGGTTCTGAAATTGACACCATTGTCTTCTCAAATTACCGCAGTTATTTACGGTTGCACGTTACAACTTAATTAATAATGCAAGGTTCTACGTTAAAGAACGCCAGAGTCCTTATTTTAAGAACAAAGCGTGCCTTGAACTAAGAAAAAATGTGCCTCATTAACCCTAGTTGGTCATCATGTGAACTTGCGCTTGGTCACCTTCACAGGGATTCCCCGCCGTGTTATTAGGCTCCAGCGTTGCCGAATTTACACTGCCCAAGCGCATTTACTGACGTTCCGGTAACATCGCACAAAGAGCGATTTCATGCCACATGGGAAACAATTATTTACTTCTTCAGAATGATGATAAATCAAAATCAAAATGATGATAAATGATAAATCATTTTACAAAAACAGTAGACTCCCGTTATATACACTGAGAAAAAAAATTATTTTTGCGAAATATCCATTTACTTGAGAGAAGTATTTATTTTTTCAATGCCGTATTTCTCCAGTCGAGTCATTCCGAGATCATCCTCATTAAGTGTCAATTATGACCATTATATTGCTCCAGGAGATAAGCGTGTTAGTTAAGACCTTGAGTGCACTCTCTCAATAATTATCAACATTCAAAAATTAATATAAATTCTTCCCTCTGGAAAATGAGAAATGTTGGGAAAATGAATAACCATTGGACGAGTTCATCCAAGGTCAAATGCAACATAGTCATCCTCTAGAGCAACAGGATTGGCATAATTGAAATCTAATCAGACGCGCTTGGGAATGACTCAATAGGAGAAAGATGATTTCGAAAAAATTAATGCTTCTCTCAAGTAAATGAATATTTGGCAAAAATATTTTTTTTCTCAGTGTCGTCCTACGCCCCTAGCCCCACCATGCGCCTAGTTTTTCGTAAATTTACTGTTGGAGTATTTTATATTTTATGTACGATCTCCTAAAAAGGCGAAACAATAGCGCATCTAAGAAAACATCGAGGTATTCACATTCGGGAGGCGAGAGTGGTAGGTGTGGGGGAAGTCTCCACCGTGACGAAAAAGCGATGAAGAGAAAATGCGACAATTTATTGTACTCTTATCTTTTAAACACTTCATTTGACGAATTCAAGTGTTTCCGAAATTTTCCACTCACCCAATCAATGGTGAGAACAAACTTGTGAATTGGAAAACTAGGATAAGTGCATTTTTTTCGGAAAAAAACTTTTTTGACTCGTATGATTGCATTCCTCGGCTTCGCCTCGGTCTGCAACCCTCACACTCGTCAGAAAAGTTTTTTTCGACCTTATGATGAAAATACCTATTTTTGGCTACATTGCTTCCGCAAACTGATGCGAAAAGATTAAAAGCTTGATAAAAGGCGGGAATTTATATAGCGTTCTACACCTTGTGATGTCACAAGATATTGTTGAATAGAATTTTAGAGTAGGTAGGAAGCGAACCAGGATAATTCTCGATATTAGTTTGCAAGAAAAATCGCTTCCACAAATTGATAAGCGGCGATTTAACAAAACGCATTTTCAAAAAACATGCTCCTATCCTAGTTTACTACTACTTCACGACAGAAATGAAAAACGACGCGTTGCGGGGTTTCCCTCCTATGGTGACCAATCTAGAGTTAAAGTACACCTAAAGATACAAAATGACTGTCATTTTTCAGATCACGTCATATGACCAAAAAATTGTGATCTTGTGACGGTTATGTGACGCAGTAATTTTCCAACTACAAAAGATGGACACAAACAATTTATATGCAACTGTTGCTAAAACATCTCTATAAATTTATAATGACTGTCACAACGAATTTCTAATTTCTGACGGTCATAAATATAAAAAATGGTTTCATCCACAAAGAAGAAACATCACCGTGATTTCCATTTCAAAATGCACATTAGGCTAATATGAAATGAATTAAAATCAAAATTGACGAAAAAATGAAGTTGCATGAATACGGGAGAGTGGGATAAAACGGACACTTTAGACTTTTGTTTTAATTCCTCATAACTCAGACACAAATTTATCAATTGAGCCCAGTTTAGGCTCATCACAAAGGGAAAGAACATTTGAAATAAAGTCAAGTGTCCATTTTATCCCAACCTCCCCTTATAGATGAAAAATGACTGTCATATTTTTTTAGCAAATTACCAAAAGGGCAAAAGGTTGAGAATTGCGACAGCCGTCACAAACGCTTCGTCACCGCTTCGACGCATTTGCATCTCTAAAAACTATTTATTTCGTAGTTTCTGGCCTCTGCGGTCATTAGCCAATTTCTCAGTACAAACTACTGAGAACTCAAACTTTTTTCTGATTCTCGGAGAAAAATCTCTTAGAATAATGGAAAATTCCACTGAAATCCAGGAACTTTGTTCCTCTCTGATACAAGAGGGGAGAGATTTCGGTCAGGGTCGAATGATTGAAGCGACTGTTTACCTCGTCCGTGCCATATTGATCGGGGAAATTGCGATTTAAATCAACATGATGGGCATTCTTCCTGCCCACTACACTGTCCACATCCCCCACATGGGATATTTCGTAACCATCCGGATTCATGCTCGGCATCACGTGCAGTCTAATTGTGTTGACAATCCGGGTTGCCCTTGTATCGGTGCCATAATTCTCGCAGAGATACTTCGATAGGAGGAGGAGGACCTCACGCCCAACCACCTCATTTCCATGCATATTCCCTATGTACTTGACCTCTGGCTTGTTAATATCGTGTTTTCCAGGGTCTTCTGTTATCTCGAGGACGTACAGCTCTCGATTTTCAACGGAACGACCAACGCTGTACAGACGAGTTATGCTGGGGTAATTTCCACTCAGCTGCATCAGGAATGCCTCCATCTCGGTGTAATTGTGATGTTTGAATTTTACCTCTTCGTAAAATCCGTATTTATCGCGGGGTCTTGTGTACTCCTCGATTTTCTGGGACATTTGGGCTGTGGGGGTGATAAAAGGGAGAACAAAAAAATAAATAACTGCTGTGAGTTGGGGTAAACGCAACACAAGGTACGGGTTTCAAGCAAAATCATAATAAAAGTTTTTGAAAGAACGTGATTTTTACAGTTAAATTAAAAGTGTGAGGGAGAGGATGTGGCTCAAGTGAGACAATTTGAACATTCAATCACAGCAAATATAATACTTTATTTTTTCTGTTCTGTTGACACCGCTTTATACATTGTACACATTTTCTTTGTTCATCCAACTTTATTGCTCTTCACGAAGGACATGCGATTACGAGTGGTTAAATGGATATAGCTAGTTTACATTGAATTTTCTTTCACATTGGCTGATATTCGCATTATTCAGAGCTTTTATGGAAATTGGTAATTTTGAAAGCGTCTCGTGTCCTCGCCCATCGCATTTACAATTTTTCTTCGATTAAAATAGTTTCAGATCTATAAGGAATGACGAAAAAATGAATCATCGAATTAATCATTCTTATCGCAAATTCCTGAATAAGTACTAATTAGTTGTTCAGTATTCGGTTGAATTACACGTGTGGAATGTACAACGATTTTCTTCATTCTTAAAAATAGCACAAAAATATGGAATTTTTCATTTTCTTGAACAGAAATGCTGATTCATCAGTTTACCAATATAATATAACTCTCTTACTAATGAGATATGTTCGTGATCGTTATTAATGTCATTATTAGTCTAGAATTACGTGGATCGCGGTGCATATTGTGCATGTGGCTTTTACCGCGTTGATTGTAATTGAATTAGGCGTATACAATAGACATTTTAATTTCATCATTAATTTGTTCTTCAATCCTTCAACACTCGAGTTGTACTGACTAGTGATGTCATGATTCAAACACTTCAATTTCTTTTTCATTCCATACCTTGTGTACGCGTTTTGCACTTGGAATTGGGACACAATGAATGAGATAATTTCATAAAAAACTTAGCCAATTCGCTTAAAAATTTTATTTGATTTCTCTTCGATTCTATTGAAAGACTACATTCAATTCTGTCCTACTGCGCGTTTTTCACAGCTAATGATCAATAGAAAGTCTGTTATAGAAAAGAAATTTTAAATTTGATCTCTATACAACTTTTTCTATTGAGACATTTTCTGCAGGAATTTCTTGACATAAATTTTCCAAGTTCTTTCCATTTAATTTTTTTCTTTTGAAAAAAATCTGAGAAAAAAACTTAAAACCGAGACATTTCTATAGAAAATATCTCAATTGAGAAATTTGTAGGGAAAAAGCAAATTTTAATGATTTTCGCTGTAAAATATTCTCTATTGAAGAACTAAGAGAATTTTCAATAGAAGTTCAATAGAAATCTGAGAGAATTTTCTACCAAATTCGCTAGGTGTTTTATAAAATAAATTTGGCGTTGGGGCATTAACAGTCATTCATACGTTAGATAATAAAAAGTGGAATTGAAGGAGAAAAAATAGTAAATCTTTGCGTAGTTAGTTTGTCATGGAAAAAAATAAAAATGTCCACTTTCATCGAAAGTTGAACTGTTACGATAACGAGGTGCACTGATCCAATTAGGGATCGTGAGCTGTAAACAAAAAAGGGGAAATAGTAAATAAAAAGAATAATTGATCATTTTTTTCATCAGTCAGGAGAAATAAATGAATTGTGATCGTGGTTATTAGTAGAAGTAGTGCAAATTGGGAATTGTGTCATGGAGGTAGTTGATGAGGACCTAGTAGTCATAGTCACGAATTCTTAGGGAAGCTATCATTCTCTCGAGTGGCGATAGTATCACTTCTGGATAATCCAGCTCGCTTTTACCTTGTTGCGCCTCGGAAGACAGAGGACTCAGAGTGAAATTTACTATTGTTGGGCCGCCCACCTCTACTCTTATTTTCTTAAAATCACTTCGTTTGTATCTGAAATGGCCACAAAAGAAAATTATTAGAATTACCGAGAGAACAATTTCGTTCACTTTTTTTTGGATACTTATCCCTTTAGGGCGGTTGTTACACTGAATTTGATGTACCGCCCCTTGAGTGAACTTCAAATAAATTTAAAAAAAAAATGTTCAAATTTGAGAACTTGACCTCAATTCCAAGACATCCTCAGAAAGGCTCATTTACTTCGTAAGAATAACATGGGTTTTGACGAAAGAAAATCAATTTTCTTGCTATTAAATTTTTTTTTCTCTCGTATACCCTTTCGGGTCTTTACGATTTGTTCCCTTCCCACTCCTCAACTCCCTGTACCGCATTCGCCGAAGGACAAGAGAAAACCTCATTTGAGGGAAAAACCTGCGCAGGTACAGTCGTCTCTTGCGAGAAACCTGCTCGATAATGAAACCGTGAGATTTAGAGTGTCACAAATTTTGCCCCCCCCCCCCCCCCCCCCCCCCCCCCCCCCCCCCCCCCCCCCCCCCCCCCCCCCCCCCCCCCCCCCCCCCCCCCCCCCCCCCCCCCCCCCC